ACATTCTGATTTTTACATAGACTTGTTCCTTATAACTTAAGAAGTTTAAAAATTTTTACGTGCCACTTGGAAAGTGCTTATAACTTAAGTTAGAGACAAAAATTGATGCAGCTTATTGAAAAGATTTCAAGCATGATATATCCGCCATGTTGTTTATAAATCCAATACCGCAAAGCATTAATTTAGTTTTAACAAATTATTGATAATTGGGGGTTAATTGTTTGTAAAATTATATGTTTTAAATACAATTACTCAAATCTATGTAACCAAAACTTCATAAAACTTATTTTAAAAAAATTTATAATTTTTTTTTTAATATTGTATTAAAAATATGAAATAATTTTAATTTAATAAATCTAAGAAATAAAAAAATATTCCCGTTCTTTGAAAAAAACATATTTGTAATATTTTTTAAAGTCAAAAATATTTTTGCAAAAATACGATATTTGATATACTAAAATGAATATTGTAAAGTAAAAAGAATTTTTTATGTGTTGTAAGTCATAGCATAGATCATTTATAGATCGAACTGGAGAGTTTGCAGTTGCTACTCCATACAATTAGATCTTACTAATTTCTTAAGGATTTAAATTAGAAGAAATTTCTCATTTTTGACGGAAATCAAACATTTTTGTTTCACAAACTCGTTTTTGTAAATTTGGGTAACCTAATTTTTTTCGGCGAGTGGAGTTCTAGAATATATAATTTTATGGACAACCCCTAAAAGCGTTGTACTTTGAAGCTAAAAAAGACTAAAATTTTTCAATAAAAAGAGAACCATAGAGTTGGAAGGAATCATGTCTTTGATTCAGAAACCTTGATGAGGCTTTTTTAAGACATTGTACTTTTTTTAAAATACTACAAAATTTGAGATTTTAATGAAGCATTAAAATCTCAAATTCTGTAGTATTTTAAAGAAAACAATATCATTTAGGATAACTTACAAGTGCTATACTGTGATGGAACTAACGTAAAAACTGAAAACAAGGTTGGTGTTATTAGATCGATTGAGTTAAAACTTTAACGACGTCTACTATGGGAAATTTGTTTGCTACGTGCAAATGAGTTTCCATTGCGTCATTGGTTTGTAGAGTTGGATGGACCGAAATCTGGTTCTAGATACTATTCAGGCTCTATTAGAAAGTCTCTTAAAACTTATGAGAAGTTGTTGATTTTTGATCTATAAACTAAAATTTCAGAAGTGGACAGAAATTACGGTATCTTCCAAATGTACTACAAATGCATACTTTCGCTATCAAGAAAACTTAATTTTGTGGCTGCTTATCTGATATCATTGCCATTCTTCTGGCAATGATATTTGATGAGCAACAACAAATTTGAGAACTAGGTGTTAAGCGTATTCAAAGTGCTAGAGAAGAAAGAAGTATGAAAGCTAATCAAACAACTTGTTTGAATAGTTTTCACTAGTTCAATCCTTTCCAATAAAATGTTAATAGACTAGAAAATAATAGAAATTTTTTTTTTCTTGTTACATATAACTCAGATGACATCAGAGAATGGTAAAATGGTATGAATATTTTTTTGGGACGCTCTAACGTATCTGAATACTTTCATATGTTTTTTAAGAAATAAACTGAGACAAAGCAAGCTGAGACAAATATGTTTATTTGTTATATATGATATGATAACTATAATACATACATTGTCTTAGCTAAGACAATGTATGTATGTATAGGTGCTGTCATTTGAATTGTCAAAAGACTCTTTCCATTTCTTAAAACTTTGAATCTCTTAAAAGAAAACTGTTTTGACGTTTAAAAAATACATTTTTAACATATTGATATGGCTTAGATCTTTTTTTAAATTTTGTTTATAAATTTACTTTTACTTAGAGCATTCTCACAGTCAAAAAATTTATTCATTTATTCATGTTATCAGTTGCGAGCTTAATTACTAATCTTAAGCCACATTTTAAATCCTTGTAACAATTGTTGTAAAGTATAACTCCAGAGTATATTTGCAAAACATTGTTCCACATATGACGAGTACCTCTTTCAGAGCCAGAATTCGTTTTATTTTGGAGTAATTATTCTGAGCGCAGTAAACTAATTCATATCCCTAATTTAAAACCCACTTTGTTCTCTAAATCACTTGTCAAAATAAATTATTAGTTATATTTAAATTAAAAAAATAGAAAAAATTTTATTTAACTGGGAATGCATATATTTATACATACGTATATGAACATATACATCCATTTTTATTATATTAGTTCTCATAAAACTCAATACTTAATGCAATTTAATGTTTAATACTTTGTAAAAATCAGTATTTATGCACATCCTCAATGTTTTGCATTAAGAACAAAAAACATTTTTTCGATGAGAAATGATGTTGTTCTTGAAATGAACTTTTTAAAGTTATTTCGGAGTAATTTTTGGTTATTTTAGCACAAATTACTTTTTTTTAAATGATTTAAAAAAATGTATAAATGCTTGTCCTCTTCCTATTTCTTTAAAAGTAAATGCAGATGTTATGTTTGTATCACTATTCTGTCTTTTGTGTAAAGAAGTTTTTCTTTTAAACACCCTGTTTTTAAAGTTTAGCTAAATGAAGAGCACCCATACGAGAAGATGTTATCATAAAATTCTGTTTTATAAAAGAAATTTCAACTAAAGATAAACATAACTTTTTAATAATTCTAAGTTTATAATAACATAATAATTATTTGATCTTCTTTAACTGATATAGGTTTTTTACATTAGTGTTGATTGCCTTTAAAATGACGTTTTCGCTTAGACGTGCGGTTTTGCTTGATACTCACTTTGTTTGACCCACAGTATGGTGGCTGTATACTTTGAACATCTCGTCATGAAAAGCGATCTACATTTTTCACGAACTATTTCGTATATTTTTATGTGCTATACTTTTGTATATTGAAAATCTTATCTGCGATTTTGAATTTATGGTTTGGTTGATGATTTTGGTTAGATTGCTGACTATTTAACGTTGCTCTGAAATATCTTAAAGTGAAAAAAAAAAAAAAATCTTTTGTTAGCAAATATAAAATATTACATAAATGCCATTCATTAGAATAGGAAGAGATTAATTTTAGAGAATGTCGGTCACTTAAATACACTGCACACAAATAATGTGCTCTGTTACTTCTGACTCCATACTTTTCTCGGCATTTTGCTTAAACTCTGATAATAGAGTTAATAGTAATAGAAATTCTTTACTTTTCGACGTAGAAAGTTTTTGAGTTTTATAACTTATTCGTAGCTAAAAAAAATTTTAACATTTTATTTTTACGTTTAAAATTGAACTATTTTTAACATAGATTTATAGTTGACACAAATTTTTTAATTAAATTTATTTATATATATATATATATAAAAAGAGATTAATAGTTAAAGAACTGAACTAAATAAATATGTAAAGATAAAGAACTGAAACATTTAAATAAAGGTAAAGTTTGTAAACGAGATTAAAGTGGAAAAAAATGTAAATAACACAAGTAACATAAAAATATTAACTAATTTATATATAATGTAATGAGAACACAAAACAGAATGTGTCTCATAATCGTCGTCACTGAACTACCGCTAAGCAGTACAAAAGATTGTCACGTGACTTTAATTATTTTTATTCGCCTATTACTTTATCGTTCACTTGCGTTGTTTACATTTTTTATCAGCATTAAAAGAAGCATTATCTTGGTAAAATTAAGTAAATTTTTTTTTTACTTTTTTAAAGAAATATGTTGACACCAACAGAAGGAATAACTTGATAATTTAAATTAAGAAAGCATGAATTCTCAATATAATTTTCAATACAATGTGAATAACAGCACACGGGTATCGCAAAATATTATTCAAAAAGTATGCGAACTTGAGATGCAACATCAATACAAAAATATAGAGGATCAGCTTCTTTTTAGAATAGAGATGTGGATTGAACTATCAAGAGTACGAAAGAATCAATCAAACTATCAAGAAAGAAAAATGAGCTCACAGGAAAGGAAGATAAGTTTACAGGAGAGCAAAGCGACAGTAAATAATTTTCCTAGAAATTTATCTAACAGGAAGTTAAGCAAGTCTAGTATTTTCTTGCCATCATCCACTCTAAATAGCAGTACTGAATATAAAGTTGGAAAGACTATAAGCCGAAGTGCTAACGATTTAAACAAAAATTTTGAGAACGAGGTGAACGAAACTACGACAAAAAAAACAAATTCGAGATGGAAAAATTTTTTTTACCACGACAATAAGAAGCGAAAGCATAGCTACGATAACGATTTTATTATGAAAAGCGATAAAGACTCGAGTAGCGATCTATTAAACCAGATACAAAGCATTCAAGAAATGCATTTAAACTCGTCCAAAAACACTATTAAGCATAAAAACAATGTTCTTGAATCTGACACTGTTGTTGTATCACCGAGAAGAGATTCAAACAACAGTAATTATGAACGATATCAGTACCAGCAGCAAATAATATTATTTTGAAAATTTAAATAATAATTTCAAACATTTTCACGTCATCAAACTTTATTAAATATTATCAAAATTATATTTGAACGCTGTTAAAAAACATGCAGGGTTGCTACAAATATTTTAATATAATTTCTCCCTGAACCATTTAAAGTATAAGTATCCATTAGTATTAACACTTTGCTGACTTATTTTCTCAAATTTATTTCCAGGTATTTCACGCGTATATTTAAATAACTAACAAATGAGCATGCAGATTTTTTATTTTACTTTGTATTATTTTATCTATAAAGGTTAATTCTTATGGTTGTAAGAAAGCATATATATATATATATATATATATATATATATATATATATATATATATATATATATATATATATATATATATATATATATATATATATTATATATATATGTGTGTGTGTGTGTGTGTGTGTGTGTGTGTGTGTGTGTGTGTGTGTGTGTGTGTGTGTGTGTGTGTGTGTGTGTGTGTTAAAAATATTATTTAATATATACTTTTTATACCTTTAGTCAAGATTTTGATTTAAAGATTAAATTTATTTAAAATTTTTCTTTTTTTTATACTGTGGTATTTTTATACTGTGGTATTGGAAGATTCTAATTAATTTCAAAACTAAATACGTATATCGATTAAGAAAGTTGAGGAGTAAACGCATTTTTCAATATCACTAAGCTTTCAAGATTGCACTGTTGCGTCTGTAACGAATACTCTCTCCATCTAGAAAATAAACAAATAAACTTTGAAAACGAATACATTATTCAAAAATAAAATTATTTTACTTAAATTTATTTAATAACATAAAAGAAAGGCAAACGATAAAAAAGAAACCAGTTTTAAGATACAAAAATTTCGTCAAAGGAATCCGTTTTTAAATGCCACAAAATTACTACTTATTATCGGTCTTTGGTGTCCAGGAGCTCAAAAAGGCTGAAATATTTATGGATTACTTAGGGCAAAAAATTTGGTTATTTAGGAAACAGAAACCTATAAATTTTGAACTGAGATTCCTTAGGGGTCTTCCATAAAGTACGTACGAAGGTATGGGGGAGGGGGTTGCCTAAAAACGATTATTGATAATATACGATTCATTGGAATATATATATATATATATATATATATATATATATATATATATATATATATATATATATACACACACACACATATATACATATATATATTTTTATCTATTTATTTATCTATCTATCTATTTATATAGGTCCGGCCAAACGATTTACACCAAGTTTCAAATTTATAGCCCTTCCATCGTTTCCAACAACGCGTAGCACAGCCTCTTGAACCTTTCCATTGCTTCCTGCTATTCTATCGATTACCCTACCCTTTTTATAACGGCTTCGAGGCAATTTATTGTCGTCTTAAATCGAAGCCATATCATTTGTTTGAATGTTATTTATAGCATCGTATTTCCGACGATTATAAACATGGTGTTCAAGTAGTTCATTTAAGTATTCCTTGTAAAATCTTGTTTTAAAGTATTTAGATGAGGTCTTCGAAACGTTTAAACGTACTGATTTTAACTGGGTCCAGATATTTTAATTCAACCGATCCTGCTTGACTAAGCAGTCTTCTCCCCACAGTCAAATGAGAGGGAGTCAATGGTTTCACGTAATGTCCGTCGGACACGTAACACAAAGGTCGCCTGTTCACGATCATTTCTACTTGTGCTAACTCTCATTAAGTTGATCGAAGGTAAGTCGTGTTTGGTCCTAAACTTGTTTTACCTTGTGCTTTTTTGCAAATAACGCAATGTTTAATTATGTATAAAATCTTTTTTTTTCCTCTTGAAAACCAATACCTTGATCGTATATCATTCAAAGTGCTGTTTATGCTAGCATGGCCTGTTTTTTCACGTGCAAGTAATAATTATAACTTTGTGAATGTAGAATCGGTCTGGAGATAAATTAGATGTTTAATATTAACTTCCACAAGTACATTAGATAAACGTCCATGCAATCGTAAAACAACATCGCTACCAAATTTCAAATTTAAGGATTGATAAATATCAGACAATGTATTGAGATTTTTTGCTAAAAATTGTTGTTTTTATCCACATAAGTTCAGCATGCATTAATTCTTCTGTACTAATATAGGCTATATTAATACAGAAGAATATATAGCTTGCTTTTTTCTTCGTTAAATTTAATATAACAAATTATTTATAATTCGTATCACGAATGAAGTTACTAATAAAAGTTTATTCATGGTTATCAATTTTTATTACTTTATTTAAGTTTACAATTTACTTCAATTGATACTCCCTCCACAACACTTGTGTTTTCAACCATACTAAAACTGTGTCATCAAATTTGGATTGATCATTCAAATCACTTTTTTGTTTTTTCAGCTCTAAATTAATAAAATCTGTTAATTCATCTTCATATATGGTTTTTATTGTCCATTCAATAGAGTCGCTTCTTAAGAATTCTGGTCCATTCTAATAATTTTCATTTCCAAGCATATTTAAATCATTTTTTCTGGTTGGAATATCAGCAGGGTATTCAGTTCCAGAAACAAAATGCCATTTATCAACTTTAGATGAACTTCGTATCAAATTAACTAGATTTTCAACCCAACATTTCCATTCCTTATTTACTCCCTGAATCCATGATAAACAAATTTTTAAATCGCTCCAGAAGTTAACCTTTTCAATATGAAATACACCATTTATTGCATTTTTCATAGAATTTATTAATTTCTAACTTAACATTAAACAACCCAAGAGTTCAAGTCTTGGAACAGCATGCTTTTTTTAATTTTTGCTGTAAGTTTACACCAACCATATCATAAGTTCCGTAAATAACACAATGCTGTATATGCTCGTGTTGAACTGCCATAAAAATCATGAATTTGAGCAGATTTTATTTGTTTAGTTACATCAATAAACACACATCTTGGAATATTTAAACTGCTAAGTTCTTCAAGTCAAATTTTAAAAACCAACCATTTATACCACTGAGTCCAGACAACATCTGACAAAAGCTCATCCCAGTCCATTTTTTTCTGTACATATTCTCTGAAGCATCATTTTTGATTGGATAGCAATCGAAATTAACAGTTTAAGAGGATCATTTATTTTTGAACTGATACTCAATAATGATCGTTTAGTTTATGGCAGTTTAGGCGTCTCATCCACTAACTCATCAAAACAAAAAATAAGTTTACCTAACTTTGTATCCCAATTAAGTCCTAACACCCTCTTTTGTCTATTAGTGTTAGATATATTAACCTGAAACTTTATTAAGTTAATTAATTCTTCTGAGTTAGATGCCCACTTTTATTAATTCAAAGCCACCTTCTTTCTTAACCTTGTGAGCTCTTTTAAAAAATTCAAAGGCATCAGCAACATTATCAAATCCAGTCATAGAATCACCCACATACAAATCAAAAAGAAACTGTAAAACAAAATTTTCGAATTCTTTAAAGAGATCCCAAACCTCCGAGGCATGTTGTGTTCATATTAAAGAGAATGATAAAAAAAAATTTAGGCTGTTTTTGAATAAAACAAAAAAATAAATGCATACCAAGAAAAACTAATTTTTTTATTTTAAGGCCGTTTTCCACAAGACGAAATATTCGCGCGAAGCTAATTTTTTCGCTATGACGAAACGCTGTTTTGATTTCCACTTACTTTCTTTCGCGCTACTTTTTTTTTGTTGTCAACAATAAAAATGGCAGCAATACGTTCACGCTGTATGTTTAACTAAAAGTAGTTATTACTTTTTTAGCATACTTTCTACTTTAAGCATGTGAAAATTTCTTTCCATGCATTAATATTACCACTTCTGTCTTTATATGTAAAATGTGATATCATTTTGTAATATAATCATTTTATATAAGGTTTTTTCACAAGAAAATATAAGAAAATAAATACTAAGCTCTGATATGAACATTTCTATTAAAAAACTGTTATTGCAAGAAGGAACAGAAGGTTTAACTCTATGTAGGGTTTTTCACAAAAAGGTTTATCTTTGTGTGGCCACTTAAAGATAAACATTTTTATGAAGTGTAACTTTCGTAATTGACAGTGTGAAAATTTATACTTGTAAATTCTCGATTTAGTTTTATATATAAGTCTGGTCATTTTTTTATATAAGTCTTGCTTCTTGTTTGATGAATTTACTCATGCTTGCCAATTTTAGTAAGTTCATATAAAACTAATAAGAACGCCAGGTTAAGAATTTTGTTTTTTGTTACTTAAAAAACATGTTTTTGCTTTTTTTACTGTTGACATCACGTGATACAATATTTAAAACTTGATTGGTTTTTGCTTATGGCGATTCGCTAAGTCGAAATGAACTTTTTTTTCGCTGTAGCGAAACGTTGCACAGTCGGCAAAATCATTATTAGCTGGACAAAAGTAATAACTTTTAAAATATTATTCAGATTTTCCCAATAATTGCCAGGTTGAGTATATTTTATACTGCGAATTTAATGGTACCATGAGATTATTTATTTAGTTGCTATGGATACCTATATTCCATAGCAAGAGTGTATTTTGCATAGTTACCTAAGTTAAGAGATTTTCTTAAAATGTCAAATTTATAAACTAAACTGATATTATTGCTACGATGCTATTTTATGGGTTTAAATGATGACACAAAAAAAAAAATTAGTAATTTTTGGTGTTGCTATGTCGTTTTAGGCTCTTAGAAACCAGTTATTATTATTTATTTTTTATGAAACTTATTTAATTCAAAATTTCTTTAATTCAAAAATGAAATTAAAACTTTGAAAACTATCTTACCTCTAAGGGTTTATAGACACAGTTAATAAAATTCGAATTAAATGTATCTATGTAGTTCACATGTCCTTAGCAACCAAATAAAAATCAACAAGTGTTAATACAGTTAGAGCTATTGAATACTTTATAAAGTATATGTAAGAGTACAAATAAACTTGTATATTCAAAGAAACGTTTATTTACATAACATGTATTATTTTATCATAAAATAATAAATACTAAAAAGTAAACAACACCTTGAATACCAACTAAAATCAAAACTATGCAATTGTAATTTATAGTTAGTCAAAAATTAGAACATCTTTGAGTAATTTTAGAATGCCAATCAGAAAAGCATTACTCTTAGGATAATATGACTTTCTCAAACTACTTATCAAAGGGTCAAAAGATCATATTAGTTGCTTTGATAAATCTTCATTTTCTTTTTGACCGCAAACACTTTTTGGAAAATAATTCACAAAACTTCTTTAAGTTTTCATTTTGTACTTCTTTTGCTAAGAAGTTCAAAACTCCCTAAATAATGAAGTGTCAATTAGAAAGCTAAATAACAATGTAAACAAAATAACATGTAACATCTTTATCGTACTGACATCAAGTTCAAGAATTAGAGCAAACTTTTCTGCATTCTAAAAAAGTCTTCTAGCAGTGCTTCCATTATTTGATGACCCAGAGCCACCAGATATTGGCATATCAACTACCAGTCCAACTTCGTCACGAAACTTTATTTGAATTTTTTGTTTTCTTCCTTGGATAATTTTCTTTTCAAATGGTGTCCTTGTAGACCACTTTTTCACTGTTAATTTGTAGTTAATTTTAAGAAAACATTCCATGCTTTTATTTCAAGCTAGTCCTTCATAAGCATTTAATTGGTTTGAAATGTCAAAACTCTGTCCTAGTCCTTCATTTAATTGGTTTGAAACGTCAAAACTTCGTCCTAGTCCTTTATTTAATTGGTTTGAAATGTCAAAACTCTGTCCTAGTCCTTTGTTTAATTGGCTTGAAATGTCAAAACTCTGTCCTAGTCTTTCATTTAATTGGTTTGGACTGTCAAAACTCTAAAACTTTAATACCAATTAAAAAAACTGTTTTTATATATTTACAAAGAATTACGAATAGAGAAAATCAATGCGAAGGAGTTAAACAATCACAAATTTTTATTAACATTTAGGTAACGAAGTCCACCTGGACTAAATCTAATCAACGGTCCTACCAAATATATAATAAAAGTAGTAAAAAGACTTAGGTGACAGATATAGTCCCAACACTAGATATATGAATATCTCAAATGTTAAAATCAAAGTGAGAATAAAGTCTTTTAATAGAAATACATTTTGCAAAACTCTTGCTAAATATCATTTGTGTGATAAAATATAATATATATATTTTTGTTATATTTGATGCAGGTAAGCTTGAAGAATATTTGATGCAGGTAAGACTTAAACGGTGCTTGAACTAGACTGAGCAATGAAAGCCCACAGAAAAATACGAAACATTTTTATTTAAAAAACTTTTTATATATAGGAGGATAAGTAATAAAAACAAAGAAAAGCAAACAGATGTACAGAATAAACACAGATTGATTTTAAGAAGAAAAAACTTATACACAAATCATAATCAACAGTAATTTTATCATTAAAATATAGCTAAAACAAAACAGGACACATGAGTAAACATAAATCTATATTAATTACAAATGTTTAATTTACTTTAAAACAAATATACATATACATAGATATATTAATATTTAAAATAAATTAATATAAAATAATAGGAGGTATAAGATAAAGAAAAAACGTTATTGCTTTTGTGTAATCATAATTTATGTAGTGGTGGTAATAAACTTCTCCTCAGAAGCGAATTTATTATTACTGGTGTTTCATGAAGGCTCAGCACCAATACCTAGTTTATCTTGTCAGATAAACAACATCACCATTAATGCTTTACCCTGCGATATTTGCATTTATATATATATATATATATATATATATGTATATATATATGTATATATATATATATATATATATATATATATATATATATATATATATATATATCGATGGTTAAGAGCACAAAGGGAATATGTGCAACATTAAACATTAGGTAAACATTAAACAAATTAGGTATTAAAGTATGTAAAAGAAATGAAAATAAAATAGTAAAAAACAAAACAGAAATATATATATATATATATATATATATATATATATATATATATATATATATATATATATATATATATATATATATATATATATAAAGACACATAAAAGATATATATATATATATATATATTATATATATATATATATATATATATATATAAAAGATATTTAAAAGATATATATATATAAAAGATATTTAAAAGATATATATATATAAAAGATATTTAAAAGATATATATAAAAATGATATTTAAAAGATATATATATATATCTTATACTCTAGCCTATATGCCCATTAAGTGTTACGATTTTGTCATACTAAAAAAGGAATATTAGCAGAATTATCAAATAATAAATATTAGAATAATATTTACATTATAATTATATTATCATATAAATAGATTATACCATATAACATTTATATAACAATATAATATACACATATTATAAAAATATTATTAATATTTATGATATTATAATTATAATAATTGTAATAATAATTAATCATATTTGATAATTAATAATATATAAATTCAAAATTTGAATATTTCTCTTATAATTTTAAGTATTTTCTTTTAAACCAAAACATATAAAAATAAAGTCTTAATAGGTTTCATCCTGTTGAGCACCTTACTAAAACTGTAGAGCACCTCACAGAATTTAACTAAAACTGTAGCCCTTTAAACCTATCCAATATACAATATAATTACCTGTTTTTTTCATTTCTCCATCTTAACATATTTTCTTTACGTAGTTTATCAATATCTTCTTCAACATTTAAAATCTATTTTTTTAAAATGAGATTAAACAAAAAAATGATATAAGAACTTAATATAATTAAAAATATTTTAAATAAAAAAAATTAACATAAATATAAATATATATTTTTAATATAAATATATATTTTTTGAATTATTGAAAAATCCCAACTCATTGCAAGTTAATATTTTTCTCTAAATTTAAGTTTTAATTTTCTCAGTGATGCTAGCATTATAAAAAAAACTTAAAAATGTATGAAATGTTTTTTCAAGAACCGCTTTTATCTTTTTATTTAAGAAACAAAAAAAAAAAAAAAAAATGAGTCCAAAACAAACAAAAAGTAGGTGCTTTAACAAAGATGAAAAGATATAAAATCACTAGTAAATGATTACAATAAGTTTTCATTGGCTGTAACAATCTAATAATTTCCATTTGCTATAAGAACCAAATAATTTTTCACTATAATAACAGATTTAAAAAAAAATAATAAAATTCATTTGTCAGTATTACATACTAAAAAAAAAAAAAAAGACTTTTCCAAATATCATCTGACTATAAACACTTCCCAACAATGATTTTGTTTCGGAACCAAAATTAGTTATTTCTTATGTATTTCACCCTACTGAATTCAAAAATGATATTAAAAATGAAATCAAATTAGCTCTAGTATAAGAAATAAAATATTCACTCAAGGGTATAAATATTCATCTTCGAATAAAAAAATTTGTTTTTTTTTCGACTATCCATGTTTTATTTATGTTTAAAACTTATGATATTAGCTATGTGGGTTTGCTAAGTTTCTGGTCTAATCTATTCTTAGTTTATTTTTTTTTTTCATTTACTAGTGTAAAATTTGACAAATCAACATGCCAAGGAAGTGTATAAATTTAGTGGACAGTTTTTGTTACATTTGTGGTGAAAAAACATTTTCCTTACAGAAAAGAACTATGACATCTCTTGTGAAGACTGCTTACCAGCATTACTTCGATATGAAGGTAGGAGACCAGAATAAGTAATGGGCTCCTCATATATACTGTAGCTCTAGTTCAGTTACATTACAAGAATGGTTGAAAAATAAAAAAAGATCTTTGGCTTTTGCTGTTCCTATGGTATGGAGGGAGCCTAAAAACCATACAGATGACTACTATTTCTGCTTGAACCCTACAGATGACTACTATTTCTGCTTGAAGGTTTGTCAATGAAGAAAACAGGAATAGTTAAATATCAGAACCTTTCATCTGCTATTCAACCCATTCCACATTTGGATAGTTTACCAGTTCCTACTCCACCACAAAGTTGTGAGTTAGAAGCAGAAAATGAAGTAGAAATTGAAGAAAAAGAAGAAAACAAGCCTTCCACATCAAATGATCCTGATTTTGTGTTAACAGATGATGTGCCACACAGATTGAGTCAAGCAGAATTAAGTGATCTTGTTTGAGATCTGGACTTGTCACAGGAAAAGGCAGAACTTCTAGGCTCAAGACTAAAGCAGTGGAAACTTCTCCAACTTGATGTCAATGTTTCACATTACAGAAAATGACAGGAGAATCTGCTTTCTTTTTTGAAAAAAAAAATCTTGTTGTTTGCATTGATGTCTTTGGGTTAATGTATTGTCTTAATTTGAACTATGATCCAACTGAATAGAGATTGTTCATAGACTCATCTAAGCTAAGCTTAAGAGCTGTATTCCTGCACAATCAAAACCATCTTCCTTTTGTCAGGAAGTTTGTTATATCAACTCAGTTTACAAATTTTTTTAATAGAAATTAAAAAATACAACATAAATAATATTATTTTAGATTCAAGATCAACACCAAAAAAACAATTTGATATTTTTGAGGTCAGTAGGGAACAAGAAAAAACAATTGATGCAAGCATAGAAAAGATACATCAAGTCCAATTGCAGGAAAAAAAAAAAAATCTGTAAAAAAAATTTTGTTGACTGTAAAGATCATGTAGAGACGTAAGAGCTTTAATAATTTTTTCAACAAAAAATAACAAATTATTTTCAATTCAACATGTGAAATTTTATTAACCAATTAAAAAGTTGTTGTGTAACCATTACAGGAAACAAAAACATATTTGATACTAATGTACTAATGATTTATTCAGGTCAATTTTTGATACTAATGCATCACGAGGGCTTCAAAGATTTTCATAAAGTTGCAATAAAAGTACCATTTTCAAAGGAACGCTTCTTGTTGAGTATAATTTCATAAAAATTTGGTTCGATTTTAGTTTTCATATTTCTATAATCATTTTTTCAACAAAATATTTTGATTGTTTTTTTGCTTGATGCAAAAAAGGTAACAGATTTAGAAATAAACTTAAAAATGTAGTTGCTTTAAAGGATATCATTTGGAAGGAAAACTCATAAACACCTCTGTTTCTCTACCTTTATTTATTATGTTTTAATTTATTTTCACATGTCTGAAAAGACACTGATGCAGTGCATGAATTTATTAGATGTGTGCTAGGTAGATGGATTTGTATCAAATTTAGTATATGTGTGCCAACTTACTATATTTTTAACAAACATAGTCTTGAAATATACTATTTATTTATGCAATATTTAATCAGCCCTCAGAATTAGGGTCGACGTTCAACAATGCCAACCTAACTACCAACCTAAAAGTGTTAAGGGTTGGCAAAAAATTGCCAACCTTGTTTTATGGTAACCTCTTTGTGTCAAACTTTTTTTGCCAACCTTAAACTGTTAAAGGTTGGTATGAGTTTATTTCACACCTCATTTTTCCTAACTCTGAAGGCTGTTTATTTGAATAGAAAATTATTAACATTTTTTTTAATTTTGCAATATACCTCTTGATAACTAATAAAGTCCAAAAAGTCTTTATTAAGAACTTTTTTACTCAATCTTATCATTTTCAAAGAATTTTAAAGGTAAAAACATGACTTTTAACATAATTTTTCCACAAATTTTCATCATTGTAAAATTAATTAGTTAAACCTTTTTAAATTTTAAATAATAGACAAGTGAATTAGAAAAGTAACCTTTTCGCAAACCATGATTTTATTGGTAATTGATGTAACAATTTATTAATTGTTTTTAAAACTATAATAATGACAAAACCCTAACCTCAATTAAAGCCCTTAGCCAACGTACATTTAATATTGCTAATCCTTATTGTCACATGATGTTTTAAAGACTACCAATAAACAAAATATCAAAATAATAATTTATTTATATTTAATTTGACAAATTTTTTTGGAACTTGATGTATCTTGTTTTGGTTTAAAAAAAGTTTATTTACTACCCTAATTTTACAAAAGATATTTACGTAATGACATCATCTATGTGTAACTATTGATCTTAAAATTTCTTTAGGAAAAAAAAAAGAGAATGTTATGTTTAAGTTTTTTCAATCAAAATCTTGACCAATAATTTTGTCAAATTATTTGGATAAGAGATTCATTAGGCGTTTATTTCAAAAAACGTATAAATGTAAAATAAATGTTAAATAAATGTGGTGTTGGGTACTTGAACCTAAATAACTGTTGTATACTATATAATAAAAGTATTGCACACAATAACTAATTTTAAAAAAATTCACGTTGTTTAAAAAGTATTTACATTTTGCATTTTGTTTTTAGTTGGATAATTCTCTTATGATAATGTTTAAAAAAATAGATATAAATCAACCAAATTTTACTTTAAACTAATATCTTACATTTTCCACAAATGTTGTTTGTATAGAGGGTGAAACTGATCTGGGATATAGAGGGGCTTCTTGTTTAGCAGAAGGTAACCTATGGAAAATAAAATTTATTTTATACACACACACACTAATGACATCATAATGAAATAGGAATCTGCAGCAGAGGGGTGGAGGAGGGAAGCGATGAAGATGGGGCTGACCTGTTCATAACATACACTGACTAAATAGGGAGAACATGCAAAGAGTGTTGCTACATTAACTAAGGGTTTGGTTTGGGACAGCAATCGTTTTTTATATTATTCTTTGTTTTTTCTTCATTTTCTGAGAAATTTAAGTGCGCAAAACATAGAAAATTACGTCCTTAAATAAATATTACCTGTTGTGTGTTGTCTTAAAAAAAACAGAGCAGTAATAAATTGGTATAAAATTATTTATCAAATTTTTTTCATTTTACAGTGTTTCATCAATAAAAACTCATCAGAAATCTGACTGACCAGATACACTGACTGAGTGCTAGATTTTGAATCATCAGTATGTATGAAAGACATTTTTAAGGCAAAACTTTTCTATTTTTCTGATTATTATTATACTTTTTTTCACTGTCTGAAAAATAGCCTAGCTTAACATCAACATATATGAATACATATATAAATGCAGCATTAGACATACTGATGATACCATACTGAGATAGGAAGCAACAAGGGCTTCAGTACATGCATCTACTGACTGCCTAGGTAGAAAAATGAATGAAGTGCTGCTACATTGAATTAACGTTTGGATTAGGCAGTATATGTATATATGTGTATTACAATTTTACATTTCTAATAAATTTCTTAATAAAAGATTGCTAGCTTTTAGACCCAACTTCATTACTAAATAATAAAAAAGTCATTGCGTTGCTAAACTTTTTTTAATGTTATCTTTTCATGCTGTGCACTCAGTACAGCGTGAATACAATACATAATGCCTTTCACTGAAACATTTTTCACACTTTTATTAGTATAATGGTGTATATTTAATGTTTATAGTATAAATATCAAATATTTAATATTTAATAATATTGATACTATAAACAATAATTATATTTAATGGTATAAATAATTATATTTAATTTTTATGGTATAAAAAGTTATAAAAGTTTAATCATAAGTTTTGATTAAAATTTAATGGAAATAATAATAATAGATTTTTAATAAGATAATAAAATTTTTAACAAGATTTTAATAAGAATAAGATTTAAAGTCTATTTTTTTTTTTAATTTTTTGTTATTAATTATGTATTCATTATGCTTAACTAAAAAATAATATAAACTTTACAAAACAAATGCTTTAATTCCAAAAAATTGGAAATATAAACATCCAATACTCCAAATTTCAATTTAAGTACAAATGGGTCAAAAAGCATAATGCAAAAAAAGCAAATAGCAAACTATTGGACGTCACATAAAAAAACATAGCAACAATAAATTGGGGTGTTTCTGAGTTTTACGTGCAAAAAAAGCCTGAGAGCTGACAGGTGCCACTGTTAACATGACTTGTTATGAAAGACCCGGGAAGCTTAGTGACTGTGATAAGAATAGCATATTCAGAGCCAGCAGAACAAATCCAAGTCTCAGGAAGAAAAAGTTAGCTTAAGTATTCAACCAATCAGAAGACAATAAGAAAAGCTATCCTGTCAATCATGGATCTACACAAATAATGAAAAGGATATTTGACCAAAATGGTGCAAAAAATGTTTGCATTTGGCATTAGAAGATTGGGGAAAAATGATTTAGAGCAATGAGCAAAATTTTCAGGTTGTAAACTGCAAAAGAAGAATCAACGAGAAAAGAGTTGCAACTGTGAAATATTGTAGACACTATTTATAAGCAAGATGATAAGGTGGTAGTTCAGGTGATGAGTCCTTCTTTGCTTTTAAACAAAAGGAGACACTTTTATATAATAAAATATATATATATTTTTTTTGATTTTTTTTTCTTAATTTTTTGTTCTGAACCTGAACTCAATTAAACTTTTACACAACTCATTTTTTAATTAAATAATTTTTTGTAATTACTTAAAAACTATTTTATTTTATTAAAATCAATGGGCTCAAACTAAGCTTATTGTGATCACAAATTGCACTTTTGCAATTAGTTTTTTCTTTAAAAAAATATTTTAGCAAATTGATTTTTTTTTCTTGCTTTTTCTTATTTTCTTTTCTAATTTGCATTTTGTCGGCGATTCATAAAAAATATTTTTGTCTGAAGTTTTTATTAGGGGTCATTTATAAAGTAAGCCATGCTAAATTTAACTTTTAAATAGAAGTATAATTATTTGCTCTCTTGCAGAGGATTTGCTCTCGTGCAGAGGATTTCATTCAAAATAAATTTGAATTTGAATTACTTTAAATCTCTGGTGCCAATAATATCTTAAAATAATATCCTACAATAATATCTTACATTTATTTAAAAGTTAAATTTAATGTGATTTGTTTTATGGATAAAATACATCACAGTAAATTTCCTAGTTACAACAGTTTACTCCATTTACTATTAAGCATACTTAATATGCTGCAAGACACTTGCAAAGGTTAACTATAGAAATGTTTCTATTTTTATTTTATATATTGTTTTATATTTTATATGTAACACATAATAATCTAACTAAAAATTATTTTAACAAGAAATTTTGTATAGAATATGAAAAACACAATACCTTTTTTTTATATTTTCATTTTATTTATACTTATATCAAGATTAAACAATTTCTATAAATACGCAAGTTGTTTTTAGGAATTCATTTTAAAAAGAAATCTATTTGAACAAAAGAATTTTAGTCTTTTTTTAATTTTTTTTTTACATTTTTTATCTCCCCAAGGCCAAAAGGGCCACTTCAATCGAGGAGGCTACTTTAGTTGTGGTTACAACCCTCTCTCAAATCTTTAACTGCAAAACAAAAACCTTGACAAACAAGGCTGCTGCACAGAGAAACAAGTCTTCTAAAATTCTCTTCTTCAAATAATCTTGAATTCAAAATTTTAAAAAAATTTTGAAAAAATTAAAAAAGTTTTAAATGCTTGTATACAAAAATTATAAATTTAATTGAATGAAAACATTATATGTTTTTAGTGTTAAAAATTGTGTTAAAACAGCAATAAAACTAAGTTATTTTCTATTAACACAAACTTTTTATTGACAAAATAATTTTTCAGTATTGTTTTATTGTTGTTTTATATAGCTTTTTACATTATAAATGCAATATACTTTAAAAACAAAACATGTTTTATTGTCAGGATGAATGGGGTATTAAATAGTTTTTTATAACTGTTTAAAGTGGTTTAAATATTATAATAGTTATATTTCTACTTCTACTTTTTTAGGTATCATGTTAGGTAAAAACAATTACTAAAAGTAATATTCCAATAGTATTACATACATTACTTGCACATTAAATTATCACTGCAACTTAAGCTGCACATTATAACAAAAACCTAAGCTATTTTAAACCCTGCCAAACGAGAATATTATGAGATTCAAATATGAGAGATATTATGTTAAAAAAATAGCAATTACAAACTAAAGTACAAAAAATAAAATTTTGTACTAATACAACCCCCCTTACCGCAAAGCAACACGGGTTGAGGGATAATTTCAAAAAAATATATTTAGCAATTAGATTATTTTGTGTTAATTCAAGCCCTTATAAATAATTAAAACAAATATAAAGAGTAAAAACAAACATAACAAATACAATAAAAAAATAAAACAAATAAACAAAAAACACGAGACAGCAAAACAAAAAACTCACACATAAATGTTCTTATCATCTTCAACATCTTTATCCTAAAAATTAAAATTAAAAATTAAAATAACAAAAATAACAAAAAAATAAAAATCTGTTGTTAAATAAAAATACTTATGCTCACTATTTTTATTGTTTATTAATGAATATTTGTGTTTATTTATTATATTATAATATTATTAGAATCATTTAACCTAAATTTATATATATATAAAAAACTAAAATAAAATTTGAGAAAAAAATACAGGGAAATTAGTATTCATCAAGTTTCGAATGTTTTCTGATGAATCATTTGCATTATTTTTCATCCAATCTCTCATCATTACATAAATTGGAGTGTTTTCATTGAACTTAGCCAAATCAACATGGCGATCAAATATTTTTATAACATAACTAAAATAAACACTTATATTAATAATGTAAAAAATTAATAAGACAGTACTATATTTTAAATGTACTTTATATAAAAATTAAAAAAACAAAAGAAATTTTTTAATTCAATAAAAAAAAAATATATATATATATATATATATATACCTTGCTAAAAATTAACTATTTTGAAAACCAACAATGTTCAAAATTTATCATGAAAAAAAATAAAATTTTGATATAGTGAAAATGATGAATAAATAATTAAATAATAAATATAATATAAAAATACCATTAGTCTAAAGTATAAATATAAATTAATAACACTCATAAAAATATAATATAATAATCATAAATAAAATAATTTTATATTAGTTCATAATCATAAATATATATTATAAAATAGACTAAACCATAGCAACAACTCATAAAATATTTGAACAATAGACAAAGTAATTATAGTAATTATGAAAAATAATTATGATAATACAAAAGTATTATTCAAGTTTGCTTTAACTAACTTTGATTAGAATCATTGATGCTGTAATCTAAACAAAAAGAAAAACATATAAAAAAAACATTTGGGTGTAAAAATAAAAAAAATAAAACTGAAATTTCCTAACCTTCGTCGCATGTGTCTTTTTTCTTTTTTCGCCTTGGGGTCCTTGCTAAATAATATACAAATTACATATAAATTTTTATTATTATTATTCTTTTTCGCAAAATGGTGGATTATGTGCACTTTTAACTTTGAATGTTCAGTTTAGTGAGTATTTTTATATGAGCATTTCAAAATTTAAAGTACACAGAATATATTATTACACAAAGTACTTGTTTTAATAATAATCATTATTTTTGAAATTTTTATACAGTTGAGCTTGTTTTGAGATCCAGATTGACATTTTGTATATATCTTGAGCTTATATGTCTTGAGCAACCCTTAAAATTAAGTTTATAAATCAAGTGTTATTTCATTATAGATAAAGCACAATTAAGATTGAGTAATTTTTTTAGTTACTTGTGTTTGATTGTTTTCTTTCTTTAATTTGTAAAGACTCCAATAGTCAAGGGAAACCAGGTTTGAACCCACAGACTATTCTTTTATGTGCTTCTGTTTAGCACCACTTCACTATATCACCTTTCTATTTGTTCTATATTGCTATCCTTCACCTAAAGACTGCACTCTTTTCGATTTTATTTCTGATCACATTGACCGAGCCCTTTTCTCTTTGTCCTTCAGCCAATATCATTGTTGTTGGTGACTTTAATGACTTTATTCCATCACACCAAATGGTTTGGCTCTTAAGCCAGTGTCTCTGCAGACATTAAGACCCACAACTTTTGTCTTTCTCAATCTCTAACACAAATACTCAACTTTCCAACTTGCTTTCCAGATAACCCAAATCATTTATCTTTTCTACTCAACATTTTTGTTGTTTTTGATCCTAAATAAATAAATACATGTTTACCCACAGCTACTGTGTTTTGCCAGAATAGTGGATAAAGTTGGCAAAACACTTGCTCAGCTGTGCAACAAACTATTATATTAGTAAAATTTTTACACAAATGTTCAAGAGATTTTAATTTAACATTCTGGTTTTCTGGTTCTCCATTCACCATTAAATAGGATTTTAGTTTTTTCCTATAAATAGTTTTTTTTTTTTTGTCATGGATGATACTTGGAAGTATATTCCAAAGTTTAGGACCATAGTGGTATAATGCTTGATAACCAAAACAATTGCTGCATTTTGTTTCCTTTAAATTTAGTGTTCTTTCTGACATTGAGTAGTGAATTAAATTGCATAATGACATTGGTGCTTCCAGAATAATAAAGTGGCGTGCTGGCCCCAGAGGCTATGTGGGAATCCCGCTTGGACCTATCGCTATTTATCCTAGAAAGGCCTTTTTTTTGAATTTTTGTACCCTTTACTCCCTTCTGAAAATGATTCGCAAATGATATTTATTTGCTTTATTTTTTATTCCACAAGTTAAATTCTTTAACAAATCTCTGATTTGAACTGTTGGACTTCAAGCGCATATATATATATTAGTATTTTGCTTAATAAAATGCAACCGTTTTATTAAACGGTTGCATTTTATTAAGCAAAATGCAATCAGTTTCTCCACACAGCCCCTTTGAATCTCAACATTTTGATTGTGAGACAAATGTTTAACAACTAGCCTCATAAAATCACCACATACCAATGGTGTACATGGGGACCCCCTCAGCCATAAACGATGTTAATTGCATTAAATTAAAAACATGTTCATTAGCGTCACAAAAACAACGGTACAGTAACAGCAACGGTTAGTGTTTATTAGCATTACAAAAACAATGGTACAATTTTTTTTTTTATGTGCCCCAAGAAGTCCTTACGGTCTTTTCATCTTGAAGTATACAACTATGAATGTATACAATTTTAAAGATTTTACATTCTATGTCAAATCTAAAAAAAAAAAATAATAATAATTACAACAAACACGGATTTTACAACTATCCCAGGAAGCACAGGAATTTTTAAAATGTTTAAAAGACTCATTAAAATGGATTTTAACGTTTTTTAAATGTTTTAAAAATGATCTGTGCTTACTGGGATGTTCTTTAAAAAAAAAGCAGTTACTAAAGTTTATAATGTTAAATATTAATTTCAACGCATTTGCAGTCCCTGAAATGAATGAATCCAGAATACTTTCAAATAGAAATAAAATGTTTTATTTATTTATTTGTAAATATAGAAAAAATATTTAACTACTTTTTAAACATCTGTAAAACATACAATAAGAGCAATTTTATAAAAAGTCACACAAATTATTTATATTTTGAAACGTTACGATTTTTGTTTATGAAAAAACAATTGATCTTTCTAATTTAACAAAAATTTTATCAGTATGAATATTTTTCCATTATTTAAAGTTGAACACAATTATTTCTCATAATAATCATTGGTTAACTTAAATAATTTATCTATATAATGACTGATATGATAAGCGATTTAAATGACATAACGATCAATTATTTTTTCCAATATCGACTTTGTTTTGAGGCAAAAGATACAAAGGGTTGCATTTTATTAAGCAAAATACTAATATATATATATGCGCTTGAAGTCCAACAGTTCAAATCAGAGATTTGTTAAAGAATTTAACTTGTGGAATAAAAAATAAAGCAAATAAATATCATTTGCGAATCATTTTCAGAAGGGAGTAAAGGGTACAAAAATTCAAAAAAAAGGCCCTTCTAGGATAAATAGCGATAGGTCCAAGCGGGATTCCCACATAGCCTCTGGGGCCAGCACGCCACTTTATTATTCTGGAAGCACCAATGTCATTATGCAATTTAATTCACTACTCAATGTCAGAAAGAACACTAAATTTAAAGGAAACAAAATGCAGCAATTGTTTTGGTTATCAAGCATTATCCCACTATGGTCCTAAACTTTGGAATATACTTCCAAGTATCATCCATGACAAAAAAAAAACTATTTATAGGAAAAAACTAAAATCCTATTTAATGGTGAATGGAGGACTAGAAAACCAGAATGTTAAATTAAAATCTCTTGAACATTTGTGTAAAAATTTTACTAATATAATAGTTTGTTGCACAGCTGAGCAAGTGTTTTGCCAACTTTATCCACTATTCTGGCAAAACACAGTAGCTGTGGGTAAACATGTATTTATTTATTTAGGATCAAAAACAACAAAAATGTTGAGTAGAAATATATATAAATTTAAAAAAAATTACAGCACACATACTATAACAAAAATTTTAAATTTTGATTAGTTTTTAAAAAAATCTAAAAAATCCATAAAACCCAAAAAAAACCAATTAGTTTTTCAAAAAACCCTGGTTTTTTCCAACCCTGAAAATGCCTGCAGCAAAGCAAAAGTTACTATTACAGCAAGAATTGCAAAAAATGTTTTGTTAGTTTATTATATTCAAAAGCTTTTTTAACAACACAAATAAAAAGAACGATCTCAAAAATTAAACATAACCAAAGGATTCCATTATTGCAAGAAAAAAAAATTGGAAACCATATTTCACTAAAACTGTCAAATTAGAGGTTAAATTTAATGATTGATAAGTTTTCCAGAATGATATCTGGGAAACAAGTTTTTGTTTGATTTTGTTTCACTTTCTATTACCTTTTTTAGATTATTTTATATTGATGAATCTACAAAACTCATCAATATTCATCAAATTAACAATCAAGTTTAAAACTTACGTAAGTTATTCCTTTTTGAAGGTGTTGAAGCCCAAACATCACTAAATAAAAGTACAATTTTTTTTTTCAAATCAAGTATACATATTGGGTTGTAATAAATGTAAAGACTTTAAATGGCTTCACCACAGCTAAAGAACTTATCTGTACCAACTTACAACCAGTTTAATGTTATGACCACTTACTTATGCTTTATAAAAGTTGTACATATAAATATACTTTTTTATTTTCATTTTCAATTGTTAAAATAATTTATACATTGTTAATGTAAATATACTTTTTTATTTTCATTTTTGATTGTTAAAATAATTTATACTTTGAAAAAGCATTTTAATTAAATTAAATTTGCTTATCAATTTTATACAGTTATAACTTTTATTTTATTTATTTTATGCAATTATAGTATACTTTAATTTCATCAATTTTATGCAGTTTTAATATAATTATATTTCATTAATTTTGAATGTTTTTTATTGCATTAAATTATACCAATTTTACATACATTTATTGCATAAGTTTTAAGCGGCTGTAGCATGCTTTTATTCCAATAATTTTAAATGATTTTCATTTATGGAATCAACAACTAAATTAATTAAAGTTTTATGAGAATATTTATAAATATTTATAACCTACAACTTTATTTCAATGTATTTCCTTTTCTTTGACTTTGACTGAGAGAAAACTATTAAACTGATATGAATAAAACAAAATGAAATATATTACCTTTTATTCTCAACATAATCATCTGCAGATAAACTAAACAAAGTTGTATTTACTTAAATATCATACTACAAAAAAGCTTTAGTTAGTAATAGAGCTACATATTTATTTAAAAAAAAAGCTTTATATTCATTTAAAATAATTATAACTATTAAGAATAATAGCAATGTACTAAAAAAAATAAATAATCAAGTTTTTATGGGATTAAATTTGAAACAACAAACCTAAACCCTGTATTTTTGTTAGCCATTTCATTTAAGAGTGCATCCAACTTTGATCTAGCTTCAATAATGCTTGCGTCTCTAGTCTCTAACATTTTTTTTGTTTATTTATGCAATAAGTATTTAAATCTACAAACATAAATAAAATATATCAAGGATTCTCAAGTTTACCAATAAATAAAAGTAAAATAATTGATTAGGGCCCTGCAAATGGGCAGTTTTTGTTTTGAATCAAATCTCGAATCAAAGCAGGTCTTGATTCGCGATTAGAATCACGTTTGGAACCAAGATTTTGAAGTCTAAATTTAAGCATTTTCTATTTAATAATATATATATATCTAAATAAAATAAAATAAAGCAATTATATAATCTCTTTATTGATGCTTCTTGCCCTGGTTAACCTTTTTAATGACTGATTAAAAAGGTATTTAAGGATGAGTAATGTTATTTTAAATAGCGCCAAAACGCAGAATATCTAAAATACCTACAACAAAAACAAAATAAGTAAAGATTCAATTTTTGAAAATTTTTGAATCGTATCTCGAATCATATTTTTGATTCGATTCGAAATTTCGAAGCTTCGCCCTATAATTGATACATAAACTAATAATGGTAAGTAAAGTAAAATACAACAACATCGATTTTAAGAGCAACAATTTTAATCTTTTTCAAACTCACACCTCAGTGTACAATGCTTTACTTAAACATCTAATCAGCATGATTTTAAGGATTAAAAAAATTAACCTGAAAATTAAGCATCACTAATAATCTAACAAAGTAATAATATAATTAACAAAATAATCATAGAAGTATAAACCATGAATAATAGTTGGAGCAAATAATAATTTGGACCAACTTGAATTAGACAATATATGCTTCTATAATTAAATTCTAGAAAAAAAATCAATGATAAACAAACATAGAAACAAAGTAAATAGGTAAAATAATGGTTAAATAAATAGGTAAATAAAGACGGTAAATATTTCATTTGGTTCAAAAACATGAACTTTATTTTTATGTATTTATATATACATTATATATATAGACATATATTATATATATTATATATATATATATATATATATATATATATATATATATATATATATATATATATATATATATATATATATATATATGTTATATGTATTATTACCAGTGCTGTTTGACAAGTAAACAAAGACTCATTATCAATAATAAATTCGTAGTCACACTATTTTACATAAAGTCAATCACATTTTAGGCAACCTCAAAGCGTCAGTTCAGGAGTTCTAGTTAACCTTTTATATTTTTTTATAACAAAGAATAGGTTTTTTGAAGCACTTTAAGATTTGCCCAATGCAATAATCAAGCCTTCTAGCAGCCTTTGAAAGTGACAAACTTCTTTGATGGTTAGACATTTTCCTTAATTTGATGAGGTTGTTTTGTGTATTTAAAGTAAACCTTCTTCCATTTCCAACTTTCCAACTCAATGGTTTATTTTGATCGTAAATGTTTATATCTATAAATTGTAGCTTTTGAGAAGCCTTTTATGTTGAAGTGGTTCTAAACGATGTGTTTAGAACCACTTCAACATATATATATATATATATATATATATATATATATATATATATATATATATATATATATATATATATATATATATATATATATATATATATATATATATATACAATGTGTTTAGAACAACTTCAATATATATATATATATATATATATATATATATATATGTATATATATATATATATATATATATATATATATATATATATATACATATATATACATATATATATATATATATATATATATATATATATATATACATATATATATATATATATATATATATATATATATATATATATATATATATATATATATATATATGTTGTTATAATGTAAATTCACTCTTAACAAGGCTGCTTTAGTTCAATAAGCATGTTTAAGGAGGAAAAAAACTGACAAAAACTATTGAGCATGAAAGAACAGTTACAAAAAATGAATACAGCTTTGCTGATTATTCATTCAAAATTGAGTTTTAGCAAATAAACTGTTATCTCACTTAAGCAGTAACTAGTACTTAAGCAGTATAGTAAGAATGAGAAAGAGATGCAACCTTATAAAAATCAAACAGAGGCTTAAATCTTATTAAACCTAAAAAAATTTACAATGCATTTTTGACCCTTTTCTAAAAGAGCTAGGACATCATCAGAAGAACCAGCTTGAATATGACAACAGAATCTCATACAAGGACAAATAAAAGATTTACTAAGGTAGAATGTGGAATTGAGCACAATAAAGAAAAGCAAATCTTACCTGGTGCTAACTTGGTAATCAATTGTTTATAGTTTCCATGAAAGGTCAGTAGTAAAGGATAATCCAAGGTGTAAAGTAGAGAACTTAGTAAGAGAGTTACCATTTACCAATTTAGGTATATAAAATATTGCAGCATTTATTAGCAGTAAACAACTGAGTTTTGGTTATGCTAATATTTACCAGCCACTACAAGCATCAAGTTGTCACAGAAGATAGAACAAATTCAAGATTAACAGTCGGTTCTAAGCAAGTGAAAACCTTTTTGTCAAGATTTAAATACATAATTGTGTTTCATCAGTAAATAGAGTCACTTGTAAGATTACCAGGAACGTCTTTAGTCTTGTGTCATTCAATATCAAGATATTGAATGACACAAGACTAAAGACTGAAAGTTTTGTTAATCCAGAAGTTACTGGAAAAAATAACTTTAATTCTGTAGTGTGAAAGGAATGATTCAATGATTTTAAAACTTTTTAAAATACAACATGTGAAGCAAACTTTTGAGGAAGAATAGACAGACTGAAGTGATACACAAGTCTATCAGTGGATTAACAAGTCTATCAGTGGATTAACAAGTCTATCAGTGGATTAACAAGTCTATCAGTGGATTAACAAGTCTATCAGTGGATTAACAAGTCTATCAGTGGATTAACAAGTCTATCAGTGGATTAACAAGTCTATCAGTGGATTAACAAGTCTATCAGTGGATTAACAAGTCTATCAGTGGATTAACAAGTCTATCAGTGGATTAACAAGTCTATCAGTGGATTAACAAGTCTATCAGTGGATTAACAAGTCTATCAGTGGATTAACAAGTCTATCAGTGGATTAACAAGTCTATCAGTGGATTAACAAGTCTATCATTAACCTCTTTTTAACCTCTTTAGGATGACAGAAGAGTGCTCAGATTTAGTAGATGAATTAAAGATGATTTAGTAGATTGTTAAAGATTTTCCAAAAACCTACTGAAATAAAGACAAGGTTTAGTAATCTGAGACAATTAGAGTGTCAAAAAAAAAAACCTAATTAAAATGTGTTTTTTAAAATGATAAAAGGCTGCTTGTTCCTCAGAAAGTTTTTCCTCAAAATAAAAATTCATTAGTGTTCATTAGTGTCAGCAGGTCAGTGGAATATTCTGATATTTTAAAGCTTTTAAAGGAATCAGCCTGTCTGAGCTCCTGTGATTTGAGTTTAAAAAACCTTAATACTAGCTGATTTCATTTATAAGTAGAAACTATGAGTTGAGGCATCTTATCTAGCCTTTACTTAACCTAAGACATTTGTCTTAGGTTAAATAAAGGCTACTTTAGCTACTTTTGAGTACTTAATTTTTCAACAAAAAGTGTGCAAATTCTACAATAAATTTTATACCATTACTTTTATAGTATGTTAATTCACCTAAGTTGACAAACTCTTTATTAATTTATTAAAAAATGCATATATAACTGTAGAGCATATATAACTGTAGCCAATTAACCTTAGCCTTCCTATGACTTATTCTGCCTAATAAAAAAACTTTGTATTGTCAATGAGAAACAAATCACCATAAATCATATTATTTATTGTATAATATTTATATTATTAATTTTGACCAAGAGTAAATTTAACATTATTCAAAAATTAAATCAAATTTTTTTATAGATAAATAATATTCTTAAAATTTTGTTTTATAAATTCTCTTTATAAAAAAATAAAAAATAAAAAAAATATGTTATTATAATAGCCAAGGTTATTTATTTTGAGTTTTTGCCAGGAGTAGGCAGATTTATAAAAAAACTAAATTTATAAAAAAAAAAATGGTGTTTTTATATTTAAATATTAGCCTGATAGTATTGACAGGATGCTTGTGATAACCATAACATTTAAAGGTTTTATAAAAAAATAAAAAAATACAAGATAACATTCAATTCTCTTCTTGAAGAAAAATACCTAAATTATAAATAAAGTTTATTTAGGGACAGAGGGAGGAGAAAACATTCCACCACCAGCCTTACTAACTGCTCGAGATGGCATAAAGCCCAATATTTTTTGAATGTTTTGACGTATAGCCATGGTACAAATTATATAGAAAAAAATAAAAGAACAATCAGTAAAATCTTCTCCTCGAATGTTGCGATGCGAAAGTCCATGAAACCAAGATATTGGACTAAATGGTAACTTTGCAACCACTCTTCCATCAAAGATAGAATTAAACATTCCCATAAGTGCTGTAAAAGTAAAACCGATAGCAAACATTGACTTCATTTTAACCATTGACAAATCCCGATTTTGATTTTTTAATTTTTCTTCTACACGTTCAATCTTTTTTTTTTGACCACTTTGTTTTGAAATATCTATTATGGCTTCCTTTTTCTTTTCAAGTTTTTTTGTATTCTTTTCAACTTCAACAGACAGCTTTTTGTAGTGTTCTGTTCGGTAAATAAGAACATAGGATAACCCTTCACTTAGAAGTGCAGTTGCCAAAGCAATGAATACAATAAGAATAGTATCCTCCAGCATTATGATCTTCTAAATATATCTTATGCTTTATATATAACAGAATTTTCTAAAAAAAGTCAACTACTTTTTATTAATGATAATTTTTTAAGTCCTATGCTTTGTAAACAACTTAGAAAGTTAACAACTACTTTTTTTTTTCACTTGTTTATATTTAATTTTTTTAAAACATGCTTTAATATGTTAAAGAACTTTTTCTGAATATCAATTTACTGTGGAACACTGAAATAAGCCATTATTATCACATGTAAAAAACAACAAAAAAACAACAACATCAACAACATTTATATCTCACCTATAAACTGTAAAGCAACAATGTTTAATTATAGAAATTATGGAACTTTCTTATTTATTTTTTAAAGTATTGATCTTTTCATTTATTATCAATCACTTATTAAATTTAACTTTAAAATTATTTGAATCAACCAATTTTTAGACAAAATCTTACTAAAAATCTAACTTAATTTTCTATAATTGTCTTTATTTTTTAAAAACTTTTTTTAATATAGTTATTCGTTGTCAATAATATTTTTAAACCAATAAATATTTAAATTTAATTTACATGAAGTTAAGAAAAAATGAGAAACCCAAATTTTCATTACTTTTCTGTCTTAAGTCAAATAAATGAACACAATTAATTAGCATGTTGACAAGTAATAGTCAACCACATCTTAGGGTTAGAAAAAAAGTAAAGGCTAAATTAATGTAATTTACTTAGCTATGTTAAACTAGACACAAAGTAAATTACACTATTTGCATATTTTAAAACACTTTTTAAAAATTATTAGTTCGTCTACAAAAAGTTAATTTTAGATCCAAGATTACTTATAAACTGATCGTTAAGAATATAAAAATAAAATACTTCTATGTTGAAATTTTATTATTTTTTTCTTAATACAATCATGCAAGCGTACTAATTTAACCTACTTTTCCACTCTCGCGCTTTGATTAATTTCAGCGGACTCGAGAATAAACACTCGAGAGCTTACACGAGTCAAATGCGTCTCAGCATATAAAAAGCAAGATGGCGTAAATTTATAAAACCAACATGTCAAATGATATCCCATTATGTTTTCCTAATATATAAATACTATGTAATAAAAAAAAAAGAAAGCGAATCAATGTATCAACATATTCATATCAAAATTTATAATTCATAATGTCTATTAATCGAAAAACATAAATGAAAAACATCAAAGCACTTTTAGATGTTCAAAAAAATGAAACCCTTTAATGTCATTGACCACGGAGTGCAATAAAACTAGGGGGAAGGGGAAAAAATGAAATAACTATCTTAAATTCAAATGTTTTTGAGGTTTTAAAAAAATGTTGTTGCCCTAATTTTTAAAATAAATATTTTGTTCGAAAATTTTCTTCAAATTCTGAAATTTTTTTGTAAAAATGTGATAAAAAATCTAATTAAGGCCTTTTATAATAAATGTTCCGAACTCACTTCTGTGCTTATACCGTGCAGCAGTAAATCACTCGGATTATTGGGCAATTTTCTTTATCTTTGTTCTTGCATATGTCTTGTATACATCTTGAAAATTAATTGGCATAGAAAATTGAAAAATAGTTGGTGTGAGATGAAGCTCACTTTCTATTTGGTTCCGATTTGAATTACCATGAAAATCAGAATCTAAAACCTTAAGTTCCTTTGATAGATTCGTCTTATTAATGGCTTTCAAAAACAGTTTTTCAACGCTTATAAACTTCTTAAACGCTGGCTATTCAAGAACTTTAAAATATATTGGCTTAAAATAACCTTCAGCTGTTTCTGGGGGCATTGCTTGTTTGTTCTTCGTAACCAATGACGTATTGAAAAATGAAGTATTTGTTTCCTCGGAAAGTAGGTTTTTCAATTGATTTGATAGAACTTGCTTCTTTCTTAACCACCCTAAAAAAACAAATGGAAGTTGTCATCATTTCTCGTATTTTTTATTGTATCAATCACTGAATAAGCAGATTTTCTTCCACTGGTTACCGACTTCTTTATCATTTAAATGGATTTCAACAAGTTATCAGTAAAGCTTTTAAGAGTGACTGATGCCGAAAAAGAAGTAAAAGGGCTTCTTGTGGCTCTCTCAACCAACGATTATGGTTTTTAACTCTTGGTCAGGTTTTTCTTTTATACATTCTTCCCAAAGTTGCAAGAGTGGTTCATAATTATAAATGATTTTCTTAATAAATTCTGCCCAAAGGATTCATCTTGTTGTGGAAAGTTTCTTCAGCTTTTTAAATGGTTCAGAGTCTCGTCCTATCTTGATGTTCTCGTTAATGTTTCCATTAACGAGAACATTTCCAAGCAAATGTTCTTGTTTCAGTAAAAACTTTATAATTACGCATATTTCTCCATAAGCCCTCAAGGTATCGCAAATGCCATATTTCGTAGTCAGTGATTTCACGGCTAAACTAAGAGAACGCTTTTGACTATTTACAGCATCAGCTTTTGACTATTCAGCAAGATTTTGAGCTGATACTCCAGGTTTCTTCCCCATTGTATTAGATGCGCCATCATAGATTTGACCCCTGCAATTATTAAAACTTAACTTAATTTTTTGATAGCAAGTGTAATAGTATTGCTTTTAATATTTTCGACTGGTAAAATCCTATAATAGGGTTTTACCAGTTTAAAAATATTAAAAGCGATATATACCGTAAAAACCACCTAATTACGGACGCTTTGAAGTAAAAATTAAATATCTTGCTTATTATAGCTAATTTTGAAAAAATAAAAACACTAAAATATGTGCAGCGACAAGACGAATCGAACAATATAAAAAAATAATATTATTTTAATTTTAAATTTCACTAAACTTAAGTTTTTAAAAAACTTGTTTTTACCCGGAACTTGGGTAGTATTAACCTAATTCCGGATGGATACAAAATAGAAAAAACACACATATAAACTCATTAAATTAATTAACAAAACTGATATTTTACAAGTTTTTTTTTTAATCTTTTTTTTTTCATTTTCTTTTTTTTGAGACGTAGCAACAATTTTTGTGGCAGCTTGTTTGTCTAGTTTTTGTTTTTTCGACTCTTGTTCGGCTTCGTTAAAGCTGTAGCCTTCGTTAAAGCCAGTTATGGCTTTTCCTGAGATAGGTAAAGGTCATGCTGGTATTGAAACATTTACAATAACAATAAATATGCCATTTTCTATTGCATTTACTTCGTATAAAAAAATTAATGAAACTCTTTATCGGGCATATGAAAAATCTGCTGAAAAAAGTACCCAAAAAGCTGCTCATGAAGTGCGTCAAATGCTTAACATCAATGCGTGTAACAATGATATAATTGACTGTCATATTTCTATTAACGAGACATGGCAGAAAAGGGGTTATTCTTCCCTGAATGGCATGGTATCTGCAATTTCAAAGGATAATAAAAAAGTCTTAGACTATCATACCATGTCAAAATTTTGTAAATCTTGTGAGATTTGGTCAAAAAGAAAAGGATTAGCTGGTTATGACCTATGGAAAACAAGACATAAGTGTGCAATTAATCATCACGAATCATCGAGTGCTATGGAATCCGCTGGTGTTATTTCAATTTTTTTTTCTTCATTAAGTAAGTTTAACTTAAGGTACAGTCATTACATAGGAGATGGGGACACTACAGCATACAGCAAAGTTAGAGAAGCAATACCTTATGGAGAAAGTTTGATACCAGAAAAACTAGAGTGTCTTGGTCATGTTCAAAAGAGATTTGGAACAAGACTTCGGAATCTATGAGCATTAAAAAAAAAGAAAAGTTGCATGACAGTAAAACTCTCTCAGGTAAAGGAAGACTTACTGATGCAAGTATTAATTTAATGCAGAATTACTTAGGTATGGCTATTCGTCAGAATGATAAACTGTACCCTATGAAAAAAACTGTACTTGCAGTTTTATGGCATTGCTGTGAAGGTGATGCTGCTATGCGCCATCAATTTTGTCCCAGAACCAATACTAGCTGGTGCGAATGGCAAAGGGATAAGATTACAGGCCAATGCACTTATAAAAACAAGTTAAACTTACCAGTTGCTATTAAAAATCTATTACATCCAATATTTATGGAACTTAGTTCTGACAATCTTTTGTCAAAATGTTTACACAGCTATACCCAAAGTCCTAATGAGTCTTTTAATCAAATAATCTGGGAAAAATGCCCCAAAACACATTTTGTTTCAAAAAGGGTTTTAGAGTTAGCTGTTTTGGAAGGAAAGGAAAAAGAAGTGACAAAATTAAGGAGGAAAAAATTGAGAGGTATAAGAAAAGGATTTAGCAAGGATGACTCTTATGTGTTTGGAAATTTTTAAAGATATATATTGTTAATGTTATTTTATTTTGTTTTCTTGCATTTTCTCTGTTATCAAATTTTTAAACTTTGAATAAGAATATCTTTTGAACTACTTGGAGATTATGGCTAAAATTTTCACAGATTGTTCATTAGGTTACTGTGAAGGGATTTGACCAAAAAGAGAATTTTATAGTTAACTGTTGTTGAGATATTGATATAAGCAGCACAAATTTTACGTAAAAATTAAAAATTATTTTTTAAAGTGCAGCCAATTTGATTCGGTAAAAGTTCTGATAGTAATTCTGGTCAAATCCCTCAATCAACATGTTAACCTTTTTGCAAATTTTTAGCCTCAAACTCTTACTATTTTATGAGAAATCCTTGTTTGAAGATGCAGTTAAAATTGCATATTTTTTGCTGACTCAGCATGTTTTTGAGTATAGTTATACTTTTTATTATATTTACTATAAATAATTTTTAAATACACACAGTTTAAAAAAAATATTGCATTAAAATTAAATAAATTGACTGTTTTAATTTTTATGGGCTAGTACCACCTTAACTTTTACGATTTTGTGACGAGGGGGATGGAGTCAAAAAGGGTAAAAACTTGCGTGACGTGACGAATTTATAGACGACACCTAAGCAGTTAAAGCATTGCAAATAAAAAAAATGGAAGTTTAAAAACTTCGTAAACAAAATTTAAAGTCAGTTTATTTTTTTGATGTCAGTTAAAGTCAGTTTATTTTTTTATTGCTTTTTGAACGACTAATAATAAATTTCTTGATAAGAATTGAATTAATGTCTAGATAAGAATTGGTAGTATTTTTGCCATGTATTTTATATCTTTTTATATTTTTGTCATGTATTTTATATTTAGAATAAAGCAATTTGCTTTTAAATCCAGCTAAAGTGCTCCAACACAAATAAAATCCTGGCTGAAAAATTAGTCTTAAAGGACGTAACTAACCTATAGCTGAACAGGCAAGCAACAAATTAGGTTCAAATAGGGAGTAGTGATTGTCTAAAACTTTGATATTTATACCTAAAAGAGGGGTAATCAAGAAACAACTACTTCACCTTAACCGTGATTTTTGTTTTAATTAACTTCTTGATTGATCGAATAGTTGTTAAAAACATCTAACAAACTTTTATTTTATTAATCCACTTCCATTACTACTCTCAAAGCTTACTGATTATATTTCAAAATTTTTAGCAAAAGCGCCATTTTGACTTGCTACTGAAATAATTTTACTACAAAGACTGTAACTCGATTTAAATCCATTTTCGGCTTCGTTCTCCCTCCAGCTAAGCTATAATACCTCCTTGATTTAATATAATACACAAACCCATAATAGTTATTCATTTAATTCCAGTAAAAAGATCTAAGATTTCAAAAAAGTGTTTATTTTCATTAGTAAAAAGCCAATGTTTATATTTCTAAATGTTGATATTTTCATTCCCATTCCTTATATATAGAAGGCAATTTTTACCACGACAGTTTAAACCACAGTTAAACTATGTGTCCGGGGCCAATTTTGAAACATGTTTTATTGCTAACGTTTTTTCTTTTATGTTTTGTATATTATTAAGGTACACAATAATTTTTTTGTTTTGATACCAAATAAGAGTTTACCAAAAAATAGTAATTTTTAATTCCTTCTAATTTATCATATCCCAGAATACTAAAAAAACTTTCTAGATATTTTGCAATAACTGAAATAGTAGAAAGATTAACATTGTCGTGTTTAAAAGTTAAACATATGTCTAAAAGAAATACAAAAAGTTTTCAGCTAGAGTTTTTTGTGTTCAACTTTTTATATTGTCTTGATGTTAATGTTTAAAAACTTTATCAAAAAAATTCAACACTTTTTAGGCCATCTAAAGCTTCTCTAACATCTTCAATTTCAAAGTTAAAAACTGAATAAGTTTTCTGAAGATAATTTTTTATCGGTATATCAAACGTTGATTTTTTAACATTTTGATAAACAAAAAGAAACGACATTTAGATTAGAAAAATTACTGCCTGTAAAAAGAGGACACCCTCAAATTTCAATTTGGAAAAAGGATAACAAATTTACTGCTATAAATAGAATCAATATAAATACACAAACATTCCAAATAAAAAAGAAAAAAAAAAAAAAATGAAAAAACTGTTGGAGAACGAACCAAAAAGCAGCGACACAAGACATGCTTCAAAAGCACTGCTAAAAACTATATTAAATTAAAAACCCTCATTGTTCGCAAAACAAAAATTAAATCACAAATAAATCGAACTCAAAAACAAAACAAAAATTTTAAAAAATTAATCTATTTTTACAGAGCTGTAAATGTTTCTTATAAAGATGTACGTCGCAAAAAAGCCGACAGTTCCTGTGATTACCCAGAAGGAGAAAGCAATGACAATAGAGTATCCAAAATACATCAAACCAGAGAAAAAGCTTACTATATCAAGCTGTTAAAAAAAATTATATACATAAATTAGTATAACCAGAAAATAAAAAATAGTTGATATATAAATACAAATATCAAATATTGTATACACTACCTTAGTCAAAAAATAGTAGACAAAATAGCAAAAAACGTAGAGAGCACAAGATCCAGACATTAAAAAAGATCGCCACCACCAATTGTAATTCTAATTAAGGAAATAAATTAATAGCATACTCATAAGTCTTATTGCAAGAATTTTGGTTTAAAGAAGTTGGGGCTGACATATTGTTACTTATGGGATGAAGTCCACCTGCTACTATTAGACACATTTAGATTTTGCATTAAAAAAGTAACATATTACGTTAACATTATCTTACCTCTTCGCAGAGCTGAAAGTAAATCATAACAACAGCAATCTCTGAGCAACAAAAACATACAATGACAAACACCAAAAACAAAAACCCAAAAAGATAGTAGAATTGATTATCCCATAAAGCCTAAAAATTGAGTTTAAACTTGCAGTTTGTTTAACCAGCAAACCTTAACAAAAACTAAAATTAAAAAAAGACTAACTGATAGTATAAAAAACAACTCAATAAATACTGCTCCAAATGGTAGTATACCAGCAACAATCATTCTGTAAAATGTAAAAATGAAACTTAATAATTTGAACAGAACGCTTACTATTGATTTTATTATTTTCAAACGGTATAACTGAAACTATTACCCAACAAAAGGATGCATATACCACATTTGATCTGGAATTTGACGTGGTATTTGATTAGTTCGTACAGGTTGAGAAAAAGGCTAATATTTTGAAAACAAAATTTAAATACCATTATGAAATTATTTTGACATAAAGGTAATACAGATTTAAAGAAACTCACTGCTTTTCGGTATCCAAAAAAATAACCAAGGAATACCAAAGGAATCGAAATACCAAACCATAAACAAATCAAAGCCAACATTGTTGTAAATGGAACCTATAATTTATTGAAACTATAGCAAAATAATACTAACAATAAAAATAAAAACAAGCATTAAACGACATAAAACTTACAGCTGCTGAAGAATTCTTTGCCCAAAGAAACAAGTTGAAAAAAAACGATATTGCACAAACAAAGCCAGGATAAAGCAAGCCGGTCTTAAAAAAAAATTACAACATTAAATACATTGTGAGAACCAAACCTTATTTAAAATATAGAAATGAATATATATATATATATATACTTTAAAATAAGTAAAAGAAAATGATAAATAAATATAATTTTTGATTATAAATTTAGTTTTATAATAATTTAATACTTTACATATTTAAAAAAAAAAGAAAGTTAATCAGTCATGTATTGTTAATAAAAATATAGAAATACATAATAAAGTTATTTGACATAATAGCTTTCCAGTTACTTTGTAGTAACTAATAGTTTTGGCAAAAACATCGACTTATTTAGTTTTATGCCTAATTGTTTTGGAATATATTGCATAGTGTTTTGAAGAAAATCTTTTAAATGATTGGTGCTTGTACCAATCATTAAAAAGATTTTCTTCTATAGGATTTATTTCCGTTTTATAAAGTCTTGTAAGACTTTATAAAACGAAAATAAATCCTATAGATGAAAATTAAGGAGATGCTGCCGCAATACAATTTTTAAGTGAAAGTAAAACTGTAAAACTTGATATATATTTTAAACATTACATAGTTTTAGGTTTACAAGTGAGATACTTGCATGCATTTTTGTTCATATTTTCTTATAAAAAAAGTACTGCTACTTTTTCTCGCCATTACGTCGGTTGCAATGGCTGCTAAGAGTTTAGTGTCAAAGTTAAGTTTAGCATTATTATATAGATTAAGTCTTATAAAACAAATACTTCTTATTTAGTTATAGTTTTGTTTATAAAATTTTGATTGTTGTATGAAAAGATTTTTCTGCTAGTTGCTTAACATTTAGTAATTTTCATTATACTTCTTATTTTTTTAGATCAATTAAAATAAACAAAAATTTAAAACTTCTGATTTTTAATAAATTGATCTAAAATATATACTTTTGATTTATTTGGCTGATTGTAATTGATAACATATACTTAGCAATTCATAAGAGAAAAAACAAACAAACAATAATTCTACAGCACCTATAATTATGATAATTCTTTTTATCAAGAAAAAAAAACAAGAAATTTTTCATTCTTCAGCAATTATACTGTTGAAACAAAAAATCTGCGTTGTTTGATCTAGTTTGACTAATCAAAGATCAGGGTTAATAAATAGAAAAAAAAAGTAACACCTTATGTAAAATGGTGGCTCAGGATAAAGCCACAAACTCATAGCTTTATAACAACCAGAAAGTACATAAATTTAATATACTTGTAGAAAGGAATTGAGGGAAGCATAAATCCGATCAAAGAGCTTTTGAAAAGAGATTTAGCAGCTAGCATTAAAGATATTATCAGCTCTACTAGAAAAGAGCAGCAGTGGCGCAGTGGTTGCGTACTTGCCTCAAAACGTAAGATCCGTGGTTCAAATCCCACTTCTGAGGCATGAACTTCCTATTAAATGCTTCCGCGGTGCTCTGTGATAAGACCATAAGGACTTCTTGGGGCACCTAAATCAACTTTAATAAAAAAAAAAGAGTTTATTTTGTTGTACAAACTTCCCAAATCTGACCTGATTGTATTGCTATATAGTGGAAAAAAATCTTGTAGCTTGTGCCAATGCAATTTGTAACTGGCTTCCACTGCATTTTTTAGTTAAAGGGAAAACAAATCAATCTCTATTGATCTTTTAAATTAAAAATGCACCAGAAAGAAGCTCATGAAGTGTTTTTGATGATAGTTGGATAAAGCAGATAATTACATTTTTGTTTTACAAATCATTTTAACTAAAAACTGGTTCTGAAATAACTCAAATAATAATTTAAATAGCTATGACTGGCACAATTATATGCACACAGAGTTATATGCAGCTAGGCAAACAGAATAAATGTTATTGAGTTGCCAACTTACACATCTAACTACTTCCTGGGGTTTGAACAGTATTTATCCCATGCATAAAAAGCTTACAAAAAGCATGTGAAAATTCAATTAATAATTTTCTTAAGAAAAAAAAGATCGAAAAGTTTTGATCAACAAAACAGACAGAAAAGTTGTTTTTGCCTTGTAACCAGTCAATTCACCCAATATAAACCCCATCAAAAACTAATAGGTGAAATTTAAAGCAGATGCTTCTAAACATAATCCAACCTCACTAGCAGATCTAAGAAAAGCCATAATGAATACATGGTGTTTTAAGATAACAACCAGAATATGGTGAGCCTCTTGTTGCTTAAATGATGAAAAGAATAGATGGTGTTCTATAAGTTTGAGGACCCAATAGATGGTGTTCTATAAGTTTGAGGATCCAATACTAAAATGTGCTATAATTGTGCCTTCTTTATTTTTTTAAAAACATTTTCTAGTAATAAATATAATTTTTTTGGCCATAACTGAATATGATCTAAATATAGTTCTGTAGTTCTACAATAGCTAATAAAAAAAAAAAAGAAGTACTTGAGTAACATTTAAAAAAAAAATAAATTCACACCACCAAGGCTCAAGAACCACTACAGTGGATGAGGTTACTCTTTTTTTTTTCTTTAAACATTTTTTTTTGAACCACAAAACCAACTAAACCATCTCTCTTAAAAATACAAAACCATCGCCTCTACACTGAGAAACAGGTTAATTCACTTGTAATCCATGTGTTCTATAAAAAATCTACAACTGAATCACACTTGATCTATGTTATATCCATGCATAAATATCTTATATTTAAGCATGCTTATGGAAATTTATTTAAACAATAAGTACAATTTGACCAGATATTTGCCAGTTTACAAGAGACTTTTGATTAAAAAAAAGTTAATAACTGATATATTTAAATCCTGCTCTTAATAATAATAAAAAAAGTAGCTGTAGTGACCTTGGGACCTTAAAAAGGTAAAAGAAAAATAAAAAAAGAAAAATATAACAGGGTAAAATGAAATAAAGAATATAATGAAGCATGAGATTGAAATAAATGATAAAGAAAAATTCTTTCAAAAATATTAAAAACGGTTTTTTACAAATTTCTTTAATTTTTATTTAAAGTTAAGAAATTAAAAAGTATAAAAAAAGTTTTAGTTTCAAAATTTTTCTTTTCTAAAAAATAAACATACATTACTGGTGATGGTGCCCATTAATTGCCATTTTCTTGCCTATGGTTGACCATGCCTTCAGCTATTTTTGTACTGAATAAAAAGTCTGGTCTGTTTTACGCAAATATTATTTGCCAATTACCCAATATTTTTAATTATAAGTTTCTGATGTCAAAGTTGATGACGTCACATAAACTTTACTCTTTTTTCCACAACTATGAACTGCTTACTATAGGAACAATTTTTTGGCATAGTTGTCTACAAGTTTGTATTTATACTTGTTTCTTACAATGCCACGAACAATTGAAGTATAATGATTTTGCACAAACAATTGAAGTATTTGTCAATTGAAGATGTCTAAAGTCACATTTTATAAAAAGTTTTGTCGCCCATCAAAATGCAGTTATTCAATATTGTCAAAACTTGAGTGTAAATTTTTTTTGCTAGTGTTTTGGCAGTGGAATTTAGTTTGTCAAAACGATCTGGGTATTTAATTGGTTGGAAAGAGTTGTAATTGTAGTATTTCTTCACTTTTCTTATCAAAAAATCAGAAACTTTGTACTTTTTAGCTCTTTCTCTGTTAGACAAGCCTGGATTTCTTTCAAAAGAACATCTTATTTACCATTGATTTATTGTAGAAAAAATTTTGCTTCTTAATCCCTCAGCTTATTTGATGAATAAAATCTCCTTATATCGTTTTATAACATTTCCAAAAGTAGATATAAAAGTAGATATAGGAATTCTAGTAGCTTTTGAAACTCATTTGTAGTTCCATGATGGATTTTCTTCATAAATGTGCAAGTTTTAATCGGATTTTCAAATTGCTTTGATGATATATTAATAAATTATAATTTGAATTTTTTTTTTTTTTAATATTTTTTGACAACTACTACAATTACTTGATTACTCTTACTATTATTTTTTAATGTATTAGTAATTTATTTTGAAAGTGGTTTCCGTTTCTCATTTTTTTTCGATCTCATGCTTTAGTTATAAATTTTTTATTTATTTGCTCTAAATTAAACCTTTAGCAAATATTTTTTGATTATGTGGCAGAGAATCTTTTTTAAAATAAGATAATAAAAATATTTATGGAAAAAAAAAAAAAATTTATTTTGATAAATTTTTGGCTTTGAAATTATATTTTTTAACTTTATTTGAAATATTGTAAAATATTTCAAATAAAGTTAAAAAACTTTATTTGAAATATTGTAAAACTTTTAAATTAATATGAAAATTGAATTACAACACTTTTTATAAAGGTAGTTAAAAAATGAAAGTTAAGTTGTTTGCATGATATTGTAAACATACAATATCATGTAAACATACAATATCATGTAAACATACAATATCATGTAAAGAAATGTATTAAGAATTTAGCGCTACACTTAGCAAACTGATATAATGCTCATAGTTTATATAAAAGTCTTTCAAATAAAATATTTTTACATTTCTAAACCAAGTGAACAAAACTGCTGAAATTTCATTAATTTTAGATTTTTTAATTAATCTAGTTTTAGTAAATTACAAGCTTTGTTATGAGTCTTTGTTACACTACATGCAACAGTCGAATGCATTCAAAGAAACCAATTTAACTTTTTAAATATTCTTTAATAAAATAGCTTTATTTAAAACAGCATAGACACACATAAACTGTGTTAAATGAGTAAATAATAATGCTTTATAACAAGACATGTATTTAAATATAATCAGATATGTAAACTGGTAGTATAAATTTAATTTTCTGCAGACACCTTTAAACCTTACCTTCTGTAGACACCTTTAATATCAATTATAAGAATATCTCAAGCTTTTTATATTAAATTGTATTAAATAAAAATAAAAAATTAGGTTATGAGAAATCTGAACACAAAAATAAAAAATTACTAATAATGCCGCTCTTTTCCATTGATTTCCTTTAAGAGTTTTATATAATCTTCCTGAGTAGTAACCTGCAATAACGCTAAAAACAAACAGAATTAAAAATCAAAATTACATTTTATTAAAGTGTAGTCTAAAACAAACACACTAAAAATGTTAATTTACAAATATTAATTCCAACAATTACAAATTTTACATCAATCTAATTGATATATAATATAGTTCAGTTGAGGTTAATATTTGTAAAAAAAAACCTGCGTAGCATTTAATTTTTAAGAGTATTAACTTTAGCAGTTATTTGATGTTTACAGGAAAACATGTATTTTATTTAATTATATGTAGATAGATTACCAAAACTTATTGAAGTTATTTTACGCACATTTGTTAAAAATCTTATTTTTAATATAAATTAAAAAAAAATTTTAAATAATCTTGGAAATGATTATTTTTCATTAAAAAAAATACATAATAAAGTTCAATAAAAACCCATTATCTTACCCCATAAAAAACAAAAATCTTACCCCATAAAAACATAGAGGAAAATAATAGCACTCATAAGACTTCCTTGACTTGCAGGAGATAAAACTCCCAACATGGCAAATACTAATAAAATTTAAACAAGATTCAATTTCTTTTTTACTATTTAATTTTACACAACTTTTTTTCAAAATTTATTATTTTGTGATTCTAAAAATCTATTGATAATCATTTGAAATTTTTTAAAAACCTACCTATTGTTACAAGAATCATACAAAATAACTGGACCCCAGAGCCAATTAATGCAGAAAGGAGCATACTATATCTTGGAGGGCGAAATACATCTCCATGAACAAGTTTCCATCCTGTTTCTTCTAATGTTTCTTCCTATTGATAAAAAAATTAACAAAAGATAATTAGTGGGGATTATACAACATTAAATATTAAAATGAAAATATTGCACTTTAAGTTGAAAAATACATTATGTTTGTAATAACAGTAGAAATACATTTGCACTTTTAACCCATTACATTAAGAGCATAATAACAATATCATGGTTGAGGTCAAATACATTTAATCAAATACAATTACAAATATATTAATTCTAAATTTCAAATATAATTTCAAATACAAATCAAAATTTCAAATACAAATCAAAATTTCAAATACAAATCAAAATTCAAAATATATGTAAATGGCATTTTCCAAATGCAAATACAAATGTTTGTATTTTAGGTTAAGAAAAAATACATATTTTTAATTTTCATTAACTTAAAGTTAATTTATTACTTAAATCTTAGCTATAATGTTCACAGTTGTCTCTTTAAATAAATAATGCATAAAAATCAGTTAAATAAATTGGTACAATTTTTGTTCATTTTATTAAATAATAGATTTCTTCTTAATTATAAGATAAAATTTGATGAAAATAGTTCATATCTCAAAAATAATTGAAAAAATTTGAAGAAAATAGTTCTTATCTCAAAAATATTTCTACTTAAAAAGCAAAAAACTCCCTGTTACTTATACAACATTTTTTTTGTATTTCACAAAAAATAATAAAATAATTATTTAAGAAGAGAAAGCAGGATAGTATCGAAAAAAAATTGCTCAAAAAACGGATTGATATCGAAATTTTTTTGATCGAAACGTTTTTCTGGGATTAATATCGAAAAATAATTTTAAGGAAAAAATTTGGAAAAAAAAAAATTCGAAATTTATTTAGAAGGAATTATGTTGAAAATGCCGATACAGAATAATATTGAAATTTGGATTTAGAAATAGTATTGAAAAACTATATTTTTGTAACAAGGAACAACTTGTTACAAGAATATAAGTCATCAAATTCAAAGTGGAAAACAATTGCTCCTAAATGTAAAACTAGACTTTCCATATTCTATTGGAGCCATAGACAGAGAGCATGCTCATGTTTTATTAAGATCAATCAAGAACAAGCTATTTTAACTATAAAAAGACACATAGTGTAGTATTGATGGTTGCCTCTGATAATAAATACTAATTATCATAATATCAATATTTATTTTGATAATAGTAACAGACAAAATAATGGAAGTTTTACAACTTTACTGCCCTTATAGGAAAGAACACAGTATCTGTAAAAAATCACTTGCTGCATTTTTTAACTAGTTAAACCAAAAAACATAAAACAAAATTTTTTATTTATTATAATATTAATACTCGTTAATAAATACAACCTGAAAACTTTAAAAGTTCGTATGGTTTTGTCTGGTTCACATATGGACGTTGAGTTTGTTGCAGATTGTGCAAGAATATTTTGCAAATACTGTATTCTTTCTTATTGACTATTACAGTCAATGTAATAGTCATAGAGAGCAACATGTTACAATTTACTGAACATTTCAAAATAGATAATAATTGTAAAAAGTAAAATTTTTGACATGTTTTTGTTGCAGAGAATGCACTTGAGACACACAAAGCCCTATGATTTTAAAAATCTTTTAACTGATATTGTAATTGTAATTAAAGTTAACTGTAACTTAGCTATAGAAGAAGTGCAAAGAGTTATTATGAATGCATTTGATATTGCATCAAAAGCAATTTTAGTAAAGTTTTATTGCAAATGTAATTGGTTTATTTTAAAGCAATAAATAGTCAAAGAGCAAAAAAAAGTTAAACATTTAAGTAGAAACATCATTATCCAAAAAAAGTTTAACTTTATAGTAGAAACATCTAAAAATTATTGTTGATTCATTTGCACATGTTGAACAACATTTTTAAATTGATATATTTTCAATATTCAGCTACTTGTATAATTTTTTAAATTTAGATATTTTCACTGAGTTTGTATTTTAAATTACTGCTTTAACTACTTTGCTCTAAAATTTGAATATTTTTGTTGATAAGAACAATTATTTTAAAACTAAATGATTCTTTTAAAAGTTAGTATCTTTAGAGTTTAAAAAAATAATATTTATAGCCCATTTAATAAAAGAAAATTGGTTCTAAACAACTCATTGAGTAAAATTATTTAATTCACCTAGAATAAATACTAGAATTTAAAAGTTTTAACAATATTTATTTCTATCCATTTATCTCTCCAAAATTATACTATATATTTCCAGTGGACCCAGACAATTTTATACATTATAATATTTATAAAAATATAATATATTTAATATTTATAATATATTAACAACTAATACATTTGCAATACATATATAATACAGTAATTAATTAAATTATAATATAGTATTTAAATTACAATCGAAATTTTAAATTACTTACAATATCATCATCTTTATTATAATTTGCTATGTCTCTCCTCAATGTACGAACCATGATCATTGCAAGAATACCTTTTTAGCAAAATGAATAGAAATAGAAGGTTAAACAAATAATATTAATTTCTATAAAAATGAAGACAAAGGTTAAAACAAAGTTTCTTCTATGTGGAGCTCAGATGTCTGCTTAGCAGGCCAACTATGGCCTTAAGTCCTAACAAACAATTTAAAGAAAACATTTTAACATATATATTATAAATATTTAAGGGAAATATTAAATTGAATTCCCAGTTTGCAATTAAATTGAAGTTGCGGCATCTTAAATTCAACACTCAATATTTTTTATCTTAGCTTATTTTCTGTCTTATATAGTCATATATATATATATATAGTCAGTTATATTTTTTTCAAAATTGGCCCCCAAGTTTTTGTTTTCACATCCCTGTCATCTCTATTTAGAACAGTTTTCCCAATACCAATATCTTGTGTTGAACTCTTGCTTTATTTAACTCCAAGGATTCTCTAACTTTTCTTATCTTGTATTCTGGAATGACTGCCAAGGTCTTCAGCCAATCACGGCATGTTCTAGAATGTTCTGTGGCTCCTGAACTCTACCATTTTTGATTTTTACAGGCTCTTTGGTGTTCCACACTTCTTGAAATGATTTTCTTTTTGGTCTCACCAATATATATATTTTGGCATGAGCATTTAAGCTCGTAAACACCCAGTTTTGAGTTTGGTGGTAGTTTTGTTTTGTTACTGCATAATATTATTTAAATAAGTATGTTATTTAAGTAAATATAACTCAGATGTTTTGTCTTCTAAATTCTCTTCGGAGTTTAGGGACAATAATAGGTATCCAAAATCAAACCATCAACGATAAACCAAGTGGACCTGAATTAGGCAAAATTCGGATTTTATTTTTGTATAAAAAATAACACTTGCTTAATGAAAGTTCAATTAACTGGTGTATATCTAAAAGAGCTAATTTAGCTCTAGTATTTAAATCCTCCTCATTGTTCAATATGTTAACAATAACTGGTATTGCTTCATCGATCGGTACAGATGGATATAAATTAACTATAACTAACTGTAATGTAGTATTGTATCATATCACTTTGTTGACTTTTGACAAGTAAAGATATTCTAAGACAACTTTCTGATTGAAACTATTAATATAGTGGCATGACACTGTACTCTATCCAAAATCAGATATCTTGTCTTTGATGAGGAGCTCATACCCGAATAGTATCCTTAGGAAGTGATTAAATAGAAAATAGATATAGAGATTTTAGTAATTCTGGATCAATTTAAACAAAAGATTTCTTTATTATGCCCAAAATATAATTTGCTGAAGTTTTGAGTTTACAACCATTTATATAAATTGGATATTTCTTATTTGTATAGCCATAGTACATAACTAAACATTTGCTATTATTAAAACTTAACCAATCTTGTACGCATATGCAGTTTAAATCACACAGTAAATTGTCTTGTAACTTAGCAGAAGAACTAATTGACACAACCAATAAGACATTTTTTAGTGACTCAAAAAGATCATTTATAAAAAATATTAAAAGTAGTGGAACTTTGAGGAACTCCACTGTACACCTCGATCCACTGTACACCTTAATCCAAGTTGGAACATAATCTCCCACATTTACTCTCTATTTTCTATAAACTAAAAAACCAATGAAATGCCAAAACACTGCTTTAAGTTTTGAAATAAGTCTTTCGAAAGGAACCGTATCAAAAACATTCGCAAAATCAAGTAAAACCACATCAACTGGAATAATAAACACTTCTTGAAATATAATCCAAAGTACCAAGAAAATTTGTCATACATGATCTATTTTTAACAAAACCATGCTGTTAATTAGTTTAATTATAGGATTATTTTTGTGAAGATATTTTTTAAACTTGTTTTAAGTAATATAAGTGATATAGGTCTATAATTTTTTTAATTTTTTAATTTAATTTAATAGCAGTAGTTTATAAATAAACTAATTAAAATCAACACAATAAACTGTATAGATAATACAAACAAACAAAAATATTGTAAAAAAATCCATAAAAAATCAGTAACAACTAGCAAAACAACTTACTTAAATGCATAAAAAAAAAATCTTAAAAAGAAAAATAAAATAACTTCATAAATATCGTAAAAAGAAAAAATAACTTTGCAAATACTGTAAAAAGAACAAATAAATTTATAAATTTGTAAAAATGACATGATTAGTAATAATAATACATAAATTTAAGTTTTACAAATTTTACAAAAACGTTTTTCTCCATTCCAATGTAAAATATTATTTTTGATCACCTGGAGACTTTTTGAGCACATGGTTTTATTGTCAAGGGAAATTCAGAGCGAGGTGGCTCTATATAAGATATTATTTGTATTTTCATGATTAAAGCCTTTGGGTGGTGGCATCAATTTATTGCAACATCTAAGTTGAAATGGTAAAGTTTTCTTTATAAATAAGCCCTTCATAAATTCAGGGTTTAAACCATTAAGAGATTTAGAAACTTCAATCATTAAAAATCGCAAACTTCAAAGATGGAATCTTGGGTTATTATCTTTTTATGGACTATGTGGAGTGCTATTTTGTGAATTTTATTTATATGGATGTCATTGTATTTTGAGCAAAACATCCAAATCAAAGGGCAGTATGAAAAATTTGATAAAATATAAGCATTAAATAATAGAGTTGCTTGTTTATAAGATAGAAAACTTTTTATTCGAGAAAGGGCACTTACTATTAGCTTTTCCGCAGAGAGCTTTAATGTGATTACCAAACTTTAAATTCTTATCAATTGTAAACCCTAAGTAGCTTAACTTTATCTGAAGCAAAAATCTTGTCGCCGCCAACCATTATAAATTGTCTGTTTGAATATTTTTGACCAACTATAAGAAATTGAAATTTTTTGGGATTTATGATTATATAGTTAAAATCAAACCATTCAATTGCGTTTAGTGTTTCGTTTTGCAATCGAAGAATAACACTCTTCAAGTTATTATCACAAACATAGAGAGCATTATCCACTTCACCATTTTCCACCAAAGTTATGCATTTATTGAAATTACCAGACTTATTTGAAAGAAATGGTTTATATAATCTCCAAAAAGAGGTATTGGTTGTCGTGTGTAAATTGATGCATCCAAAATACGTTCGCTTAATTTTCCGATTAAGATTAACAACAATATTTCTTTGTTTTTTATATAAAAAATTTCAGATTTGTCAGCCTGATATTTATTTTTTAAGTATGAACAAAGCATAACTACTTTTCTAAATGGTTTAGTGACAAATGGCTTGTCATTTCCTCTGAGGATTTTAGTCTTTAATGGTGCATGTAAATTCAAAATTTTATTTCATTAAATTTGCAAATATCTTGACAAGATTTTAAATCATTATTAAGTTTTTCAGAAAAAATTCTGCTTGAGAAGTTTTTAAAGGATTTATATAATAGTTTTAGCTTGCAAAAAGTAGATCTTAACATAGTATAGACAAGCTGGTGATGATCACTCACACCCTTACTAACAGCATTAGTATGTTGGAAACCAAACTTTCTGTTTGTAAGGATGAGATCGATACAAGATGGGTTTTAAAACAAGTTGGTTATTGTATTAAATTACTGCATTGGTAGAGTTCTAGGAATTCATTCATTGAACTATTATGCTGTTCTAAATTAAAGTTGCTATTATAATAAAATCATTAAAGGATTGCAAATAAAAGTCTAACACTTCTTTTAGGTGAATGAAGAATTAACCATTTATCTGAGATGGAGGCTTATAAATAGCTAATATTAGCCATTTTTGATTTTTTAATATAATTTCAAAAGTGATGATTTGCACATCATTAGGTATAACTACTTTATTTAACCTTCTTGAAGGAATGTTTTCATTAATATATACAAGAAGACCTCCACTTAGATTAGAAATGTCAAGACGGTAAGGAGTTTTATAACCTATTAATAAGAACTGATTGGTTAAAAAAGATTTGTCTAGCTTGGTTTCCCCAATAATAAAAATATCAACAGTTTTATTAATAAAGGAAGTTATGTCTGTAAATTTATTTCGTATGAATGCTATACTTACATTATTTGGAAATTTTAACCTAAGTTTCTCCAAAACAGACTTATGACTATTTTCTTCATTGGAGTCATACAAGGTTGTTTGGTGATCATTTAGCTTATGGGAGTTATAGATGTCAAAAAGACTTAAGATATGCAATAAAATTCATAGCTAACCTACCCGTTCCTTGCGTGTTTAAATGTAGACCCTGCAGCCCAAGGTGTTCTTTTGTTAAGTTTGAGTTATCAATCTTTAAATACTTGGATCTTTTTATTTTTGCGGCTAAGTGTTTCGATGACAACTGAGCTTTAGCATTATCATAGCGGCGTTGATAGAATAACTAAGCAGGAGGGATTTAGAACCGATATTTGTGATATGAGATAATTCAGTTTGTTCATAGCAGTATCTAATGAGTCATTTATGCAGTTGTTTGTTCCAATATGGAGAATTAGTTTAGCAGGTTCTTTTCTCAGAAGCGGGATTAAATTAAAATGCATGTCTTCAATTAATGCACCATTAAAAACTGTTAATTCAACTTTTCCTGATATGGATTCTATTTTTCATTAAATCCTGTTTATCATGAATCGCCACATATCAAAGTTGTTCCTGAGGGTCATTTGTGATTATTATTTTGAATATCAAAGTTTATAACACTTTTCTCAATAGATTTAGTTTTGTAGAAAGAGGTATTTTTAGTTTTTAAGTTTTTGAGTAAATATTTTTGATAATTAGAGTAATCTGCTATTTGGTTTTTCCTTACCAAAATTAATTGATTAGATAATTTTTCTTTTATTGTGTACGAAGGTTGAATTGGTTTATTTATTTGAAAAATAGTTGATTTTGTATATTCAGGATAAAATGTATTTTTTGACTCATAAAACTTATTTTTTAATTGAGAGCGAACTGCAAGTAATTGATTATTTAATCGATCTTTTTTATTTGTCAGGTTTATAGAAAGAACTTACCTTGATTTTATGATTTTATTAGGTTTATTATGCGTAAAATAAAAGATTGTGCTTTAGATAGTACCGAATTAATAAAAAAATATGTTACTATTATTATAATTTTTATTACTAGTAAAATAAACTTATTAGTAATAAAATCATATATATTCAAAATATATATATTAAATTTTTATACAGGAACTAAAGAGTTTCAGTATGTTTTCGTATACACCTTTTATATATTTCACTGTTCTATTGTTATCATTATTATTGTGTCATTAGGTAAATGATTCAATATTTAATATTTATTTTTTAATCTATTTATTGAATTTTACTAATAAAATTGAACTCACCTTTTCTTATCTTACTTTTTAACAAAATTAAATTAGTTTTTAAAAAAAATTACCTGAAAGAAACATGACAATAACAACGGAGTTAATAATGGCAAACCAATGAATCTGACCATTTCTTGCTTGAAGATAAACATCCCAGCGAGAAGTCCAGTGCACATCACTTGACTGATGTAAGAGTATTATTGGTATTATATGATTATTAATAAAAACAATTTACATGTTCGTATAAAATTATAAAGAATCAATAAAGAAAAATCTTATCACTAGATAATAAATTTTAACTCAAAATATTTTATTGTGCTATAATAAAGAAGTAGAAGAATAAACCATCCATAAAAGTTCATAAGAAAACACCTACCATCCATAAAAGTTTCTAAGAAAACACTTACCACCCATAAAAGTTCGTAAGTAAACAATACATCAGCTCCTCCTATTAACATAAGAAAAAAAACTTTTAATTATAAATTTTCATATTCATAACAATTTATTTTCAATTATTAACATTGCTTAAAATTATCGCTAGCTTTATTTATTTGAACCAAATTATTATTCCAACAAAAACTTCAGATAACAATAAAAGTTGCTTTATTTTAAAGTTAGTTACTAACAGCTAAAAATAAAAATAAAACAAAAAAAATGATAGAGAAAAATACGCAACAGAAGGTTATTCTAAACTTTTTTTTAAAAAAAAGGTAGAACATTTTTTAGCTTAAACATGTTGCAACAGTTTATAAAATTTGACCTTCATAAGGCACCTTGTTTCTATGAATAGCTTGCCTCAAAAAAAACCACGACTTAATCCTGTAATAATTTCATAAAGTCTTCATGGTCCATCTTTAAACATGACTTAAACTGAACAACTGACTTACTTGCCTTAAGAACATTTAACTTTAATTGCTTGATTTGTGAGCAATCCAATCTTTATTTTTTAAAGAACCTTGTAAATAATTTCATTGATTGTAAAATGTTTAATTGATGTCAAGATTTTAACTATACTATGCGTTACATAAAAGTTCTCTAAAATAATGGAATGCACTCTTTTGTTATTCTCAGATGTATACAACCTCCAACTTAATAATTCCAAAAAATTAAAAAAAAAAACTGTTTTTTATTTCTCTATTTCTGAAGAGCACCACTATTGTGGCACTCTTTAGAAGCTATATACAATATAATAGGTAACCAACACCATTATTGTAAGAGCTAACCACTACACCTACTAATTGGCAAACTCTTACAACTCATACTACTTTTTCTTAAAAATAAAAACTGTCTGCAAATGATATTTTTCTGTTTTAAAAAAGTTATTTCCAAAAGTCATTACTAAACAAAGATAGTGGTAAATGTATAAATTATTGTTAATCAAAAGTAAGTTATCCTAATACAAATATTTAGACGTTTTTATGTCATTAGATGCTCAAAATAAAACTTAACATTTAATATGCTGTATGAAATAGATCAACATCCTCATGTTGAGGTTTTTAACTAAAAAACTTAAAAACATATTCTAAAAAACACTAGATTACTTTTGTTTATTACTCTTCATAACTAAAGTACATAGTAACATAAGTGCAGATCCAGGGGTGCAGATCCAAATAAATATGGATTTGGTTATGATTGCATCTTTTTTTCCAATTTTATGTTTAAATTTTTACAAAAAGTACAAGTGTACAAAATAAATGCCAAAAACATAACATTTAAATTGCTCCACTAAAAATCCCTAAGATATAGCATGTTTAAAAAAAAGTGTTACCATTTTAAAATTCATTAAAAAAGAGGCTTCAATACTAATGCTATTAAAACATAATATGTTGAATGTTGACAATGTTAAAACCTTTAAAATATATATAAAAAAAGGAAAAATTTACTAAAAGTATTAAACACTGTACGTATGTCCAACATAAGTACAGCCTTAAACTACTATTTAAGACACGCTCAATGATAAATGACAGAGTCCAAATAATTTCCAGTCTCAAACCTTTGTCCAATACATGTTTAACGCTAAACCACTGTGCCATAAAAATGCCTGACCTTAATATACAATGAACTAAAAACCATGCATAATTAATTTTTGTTGATTAATAAGGTTCTAAAACTGATTTAAATAAAAGTCAACAAAAAACATTTAAATAAAGATAACTTGAACAAATAATATCATTGCAAAACTATTTTTTATAACTTGGAAAATATTATCATACCATTTTTACTCAATAACAATGGCTCCACTGTAGAAGGTAACTTACATTGATTATTTTCAAGAACAATGACATTGCTCATGCTGCAAATATAATAAGTTTTAAACCTAATACTGTTTCTTTTCTACACAAAAATATGTAATCTCACTGTACATATGCTGATTTCTTATTTTTTAATGATTAAAAGTATTAATAAAATTTTTAAACAACTTTATTAAGTTTAAACCTGCTTGGATAAACTTCAAAGCCAACAATTCGAAACACATTTCTAAATACAGCAAGCAAAACAAAGAGTACAACAAAAACAAACAAGGAGCACAACAAGGAAAAAATGAGCAAATAAGTAATCAAAAAATTAAATCATATTAATAAATACATACTTTTCTGTATCTTTATTATAGCTGATTATAAATTTCAAATGGTTGTTCAAGAAAATATTCTAAGTTTTAAAAGAAAAAGAAAAAAAAACAAATAATTTAAACTAACAGTTTTTATAAATAGAAATAAATAATTTAAGAGACTACAATGGTACGGATTTAGAAAAAAACTGGCAATGATTTATATATATATTTTTATCATTAGTACAAATTAAAAGCTTAAAATAATATAATTTTATCAAGGAGCAAATTTTTTCATTCAGTTCTTTTTGTTTTACTTGTAACATTATCTAAATTGTCACTTCAAGTTGAAGTTGAACTAACATAATAAGTTTTTCAATGGCGACAAGCTTATTTATTTTATATTGTTCAATTATGTCAGATTTTATTTAGCAATTTTCTAGAGTAATTAGACCTAGTAAGACGCACCTATTCAAGTAAGGTATGTGTTGAACTAAAGCAATCATTTTTGTAACGCAATGTTGTAATTGTTCTAGCTTTTGGAATATCTTGGGGGAGGTGCAGAGACTTGGCATGTATGCTAATTTCAAGGTATGGTCAAAAAAATGTAGTCACCAAAGTTTTGCACTATGACTGTTGAAGCTTTCCCTATGTTTTCCAAGGAACATATTAGCTACTTTTGCAGCAGAATCAATATGAGCCTTTATTTTTAGATTTATTTTAATTATTAAACAAATATTTATGCAGAATTAACATTTCAGTAAAAACTGTTATTAACATGTGTCCTGATATCAAAAATTGTATAAAAATAAAAGTTATGTGTATTAATAGTTAATAAAATTACTTATATATAAAGTTATATATAAATATTAAAATGAAAGTTTAAAAACTAACTTAGAAAAAACATTTTAACTCCTTTTCAAAAAGTTTATAGTTTTCTTTTTTCTTTATTTCTTTGGGAAGGTTATTATAAGTTTTTGATCCAATAAAAAAAAATGAATTTTTTGCCAGAACTCAAGTTTAACTTTGGGTATTTTCACCGAAAATTTGTTACTTCGTGAGTGTTGTTTATTTTTTCTCAATTTAAAAAAATTGTTTCAAATTTTCTACTGTTGTTAAACTGATATTATCGTTGTTAATGATATTTATTCCATGCAAGTATAACAATTACTTTGGGTTGCTGTAAACTTTAATATACTTTAAAGCAATTAAAATTTAAAAAAGCAAATTTAACTTTAATACAATTAAAAGTAACTAGCGGTATAATTATTTTTTGGTTAAAAAATTTCTATTTGCGGAGTATGCATTGATGATCTATTGCAAGCTGTGGAGTAATCTCAAATATTTTTGTTACATTTTCCACGTTCTGCAACATTTGTTGAAAATTTATAAGAAGTGACTTTGAAGTTGACAAATATTTTTTCACAGTGATTTTTCACAAGTCCAGTTGAAGAAAACTCCATTTAGTAAAATTTTTCCATTTCTTTTAAACATGTTTAAATATTTGTGTTATGTCTTAACAGGATAGAAATACCTTGCTTGATGTTAATACTTATTTTTCTTTCAATTTGATGTGGATTTTACAGGATAACTGAACTGTATTGAAAAGATATATTTCAAATACCGAAAAATATACATTTGAAACTTTTTTGTATTGAATACATAAATGAAGATTATTTTATTAAAGTTATTTAAAAATATCAATTTTTAAAAAAAAAATGCAATATTTATTTAACTTCGACAAAAAACAAGATATTGTGAAAAGTTATGGCATAAAGTTTAAGTATTTTTTCAAAAATGGATATATAGTACTAAGTAATTACATTGCCTATACAATCTTATTTATATTAAGTATATGCCATATACCCCTCAAATCTCTTTAGTGAAGTATCCATACATTTAAAGCTTTATTCGGATTTACTCCCAATAAACTTGCAAGCAATCATTATTAAGTTGGGTAGTAAGTATTAAGTTGGGAAGTAATAAAAAACAAAGAAGAGAGTTATAGAGCAAGGAAACAGATGACAGAAGACATGAAAAGTTGTTGGTTGTATGAGTCAGGAAAACATGGGCGAGAGTTCCAAAGGGATGAAGAGCAAGAAAAAAAACTAGATGAAAAAAAGTTTTTTTAGAGCATTGAGGGACAGATACAGTAGAGGTATACTGTAGAAAAGAGAAAGAGACACAACCTTACAACAATGGGAGATGGGCTCAAGCTTGACAGATAGAGCAGGTCTAACTTTGTTTACAATGTGTATTTGGACCTTGTCTAGAAGAGAAAAAGCATCATTAGAAGAACCAGCCCAAATATGACAACAGTATTCCATACAGGAGCAAATAAGATATTTCTAGAGATAGATAATGAAATTAGTAGTAAAAAAATTGCAAGCACTATAAAGAGAAGCAACCGTAGCAGATGCTAATTTAGCAATTGCTTGTATTTATGGTTTCCATGAGAGGTCAGTTGTGAACAATAAATCAAGAAGATGTAAAGAAGAGGACTCAGTGAGAGGGTTGCCATTCATCAATATAAAAATGTTGTCAATATTGCAATAGTTGTTTGCAGTTAATAACTGATTTTTGTTGGAGTTAAAATTCACAAGCCATTAAGAGCCCCAACCTGTTACAGAAGTGAGATCAGATTCAATATTGGCTGCTTGTTCTAAGCAATCAAAAAGAGAAGACTTTTTATCATGAAATAAGTATAAAATTGAGTCATCAGCAAATAGAGCCACATTAGATGTAAGATGGTCAGGAAAATAATTAATGTAGATAAAAAAAAAGACCAAAGATAGATCCTTAGGGTACATCAAAAGTTACTGGAAATGAAGAAGAGTTAAAATTACCCAAAAGTTACTGGAAATAAAGAACCCTTCAAGGATAAATTTGATAAAATGGTTGGAAAGAAACAATTTAATAATCTCCAAACTTTCCCAGATACACCATATGAAGCAAGTTTATAGAGAAGACTGGCATGCCAAACTTTATCAAAAGCTTTAGATATGTCAAGAGAAATAGCCCTAGTCTCGCAACCTCCATATAATGTACAATAAAATCTTTTATTCACAGCAGTAGGCAAGTAAGTCGTTTTTAATTTGGTTATATGATGATTCGTTTGTCACTTTAATTTATGGCTTTGAAAACATGTTGTAACCTCAATATTACATGTCAAAATCTTAATACAAAAACTTCTTTTATTGACTTATTGTGAGATGAGTGGTAACTAAACACAAAAACTTCTTTTATTGACTTTCTGTGAGATCAGTGGTAACTGAAAATTCCTTAACTGAATAAAAAGTTTAAACAGTTAGTTTCTGCTTCTAATTGACAAGGCTGCAATTTTTTTATTTTCTGTAAAAATGCGAGTTATAAAAAAGTAAATTTATCAAGAAGAAAAGAAAACATCTTATTTTAAAAAAAGTTTATTTAGGTGGAAATATTGCCAAAGTGCTTATTCATTCAAGAAACTTCATTCAAAGTATGTGTTGAACAACTAATATATGTTCTAAAAGATATGTTTCTAAAAATCCATTCAAAGATGATTCAAACAGTGCACTCCTAAATAAATAAAAAACAACACCACCAAAATATTACATTTATAAAATATAAGCTAGTAAGAAAAACATATTTTAAGATTTTTTTTTTTTTTTTTGTTATTTAAGCCACCATGGCTGAGAGGGCCACTACAGTCGAGGAGGCTACTTTATTGTTACAACCCTCTCTCAACTCTTTAACTTTAAAACATGAACCTTGACAAACAAGGTTGCTGTGTGAAGAAACAAGTTGAGCACGGTACTACCAGAGATGTGGTGGGGATCAAACTTGGAACATCTTGCTTATGAAGGGAGTGTTCTACCACTACACCACTATCACATAACAATAATATTTTTAAAAATGAAAGAAATAATTTTACTTTTAAAGATAGAAATATTTTTAACATTTACAGCTTCCAAGGTAAAATTATTTCAGACGTCAGAACCTTGTTAAGAAAATGTATATTTTATATATTTATATTTATACAAGTACCTAAACAACAATGTTATTTGAGTATTTTATATGACCACATGTGTAGTTATTGTTGTTAATCACAAAGAATAGAACTTTTAGAACAAACCAAATTGTAAAAAAATCTAAAACAAGTTACTAAGTGACAATTTAGATGTTTTGTAAGAATATTTAAACATTTAAAATTTAAATTAAATGTTTAAATAATCAGTACTGCTTACATTTTTTTTAAATATTGTAAAATGGAAAAATTATTATATGTTTAAATTAATGTATGTATATCCTTACTAACTTAGTACAGTTTTATAGTACATTTCTTAAAAAAATACAGTTTCAAAGTACATTTCTTACTATGTACAGTTTCATAGTACATTTCTTTTGTTTAAATAAGTTTATAAGTTTAGTCTCAAAATATTTGATGAAATATTTTGAAATATTTAAATGAAACGTCCAACACAATTATACTTACACAGTTAAACTGATAAATGATTAAAATTTAATTTATAGAAATATTTTTATTTTTATCTAATGTAAGCTTAAGACTGCCATAAAAAATAAAATATTTTTTTTTGCCAAAAAAAAAGAAGTATTCCAAATTATAAAAAGCTCATGCAAATTTCTTGCATAGAATGTAGGGCAAGGTTGCCCATGTGTGCATATTAAGTTTATATATCAGAAGTAAAATAATCAATTTTTAAAAGCAACGATCCTTTATATTTACAATGCATATTTCTCAAGTTATAAAACTTAAGTGCATATAAAATTTTTTATTACAACTTTTACAGATTTGAACTTTGACAAGGCTCAACCAACAATCCTAGATCAAAACACTTTTGGAAACTCTTTTTTTTTTTAATTTATAATTAATTCTACAAAATAAAGAAAGTAAAAGAAGAAAGCAAAAAAAGCCATTTTTACTAACCCTGAACTATTGTGGAGACTAAGGAAGTTATTAAACTTATCATTCAATTTAATTGTATTTGTGGAGATAAAGAAAAATGTTCAACTCATCAATTTAATTGCACTACTACTTTTTATTTTACTAAATTTAATTGTCAAAAAATAAAAATAGTTAGCAAAAGTAAAAAAAAAAAAGTTTACAAATATTAACTTTTAGACAACATTTATTTAATTTTCTTTTATATTTCTAGATTTTTCTTTATTTATTGCTAACTATTTTAATTTTTTCAAAATTATCAATTATAGACAAAAATTTTAAAAATACATTATTCGTTGATTTCCCAAGTTGCCAACCATGAACAAATTGAATCTAAAAAGTGAAAAATATCTAGATTAAATTATTAGTTAAATTGTTTTTAAATGTTGAATTGAAAAATTTGCTGACCTTTCCATCGCCAAATATATATTTTGCAGCAGCTGGTAAATTATCAATTATCCTAAAAAAAAAAAAAAGGTAAATACATTGACCTATTTAAAACACAGTAAGAAATAATAATGAAGTCATACTGAGCCATCAGTAGAGGCTTTAGTACATACATAGACTTGTAGGTTGGGTTTGGGCAGGTACAATCTAGATATGAAGGACTTTTTATACTGAATTTTTTTTTATAATAATAATATATATATGTATTATATATATATATATATATATATATATATATATATATATATATATATATATATATATATATATATATATATACATATATATATATATATATATACATATATATATAAAAAAAAAAGCAAAAATAGTGAGCAAATGCTTATCTACACAAGCTATAGAAGTTAATGTAGCAGCAGTCCGTTGCAAGTCAGACTATTTGTCAGTCGATGTAGCAGCACTCTGTTGCATGTCAGGATATAAGATAGTCAATGTAGCAACATTCTACGCACGTTTTACAGTAAAAAAAATAAAAATAAAAACATTCAGAATGTTTTTAAAAACATTGTGGTCTTTTAATTCACGTTTTTGTGGTTTTTTAAAAAAACATTAAATTTAATTAGTTTCCTCAATCAAATTTATGTGATTTGTTATAATCTAACCTTAATTTTGTAATATATATAATAATAATAACAATATATATATATATATATATATATATATATATATATATATATATATATATATATATATGTATATACCCATATAGTGTAGTCGAAAGAGCGTTTTAATGTAAAAAAAGTCTCTTACGACTACAATTTTAATTACCTTGTCTCTTAAGCTGTTTTTGATTGTCATCGAAATGTCAAAGCAATTAATTTATGCGAAAGTACATTAAATTTAATTGTTTTTTAAAAAATTTTTAAAAAACCGCAATTATAACGACTAGAAAGTTTTTTTTAATTAGTGGTGTTTTTGTTATTGATTTAATAAAAAACATTTTTAAAACATGCGTAAATGTTGCTACATCGACTATCTTATAGCCTGACTCGCAACGGAGTGCTGCTACATCGACTGACAAATAGCCTGACTCGCAACGAAGTGCTGCTACATCGACTGACAAATAGCCTGACTCGCAACGGAGTGCTGCTACATCGACTGACAAATAGCCTGACTCGCAAGGGAATGCTGCTACATCGACTGACAAATAGCCTGACTTGCAAGGGAGTGCTGCTACAACGACTGACAAATAGCCTGACTCGCAAGAGAGTGCTGCTACATCGACTGAGGGTTTGGTTTGGCCAGGCAGTCTATCATTTAAAAAAAAAAATTTAATTTTTTAAAACTTTTTCTGGTCTGGTTTATTAACGCGCTCTTTAAAACTACAGTTTATGGGAAACTTTTTTTGATGCCAAGCAAGAGACATGCAAGAGTATATATATATATATATATATTTTTTTTATTTTACTTCACCTCCTCAAGGCCGAGAAGGCCACTACAAACGAGGAGGCTACTTATTTTGTGGCTATAACCCTCTCTCAACTCTATAACTCCGAAACACGAACCTTGACGAACAAGGTCGCAGCGCGGAGAAACGAGTTGAGCGCGGTACTACCAGGGACGTGGTGGGGATCGAACTCGGAACCACTCGTTTATGAAGCGAGCGCTCTACCACTACACCACTACCGCATTTTAATATATATATATATATATATATATATATATATATATATATATATATATATATATATATATATGTAATTTATATTGTTAGTGACCCATCTAATCTTTTAATGCCGTGTGGCACTCTTGAAAAATATTTTTAAAAGCTAACTTCTTTAGTTCAGTGTTGTTTTACTGTATAGGACACATACAAAGGGTGTAAGAAGACTTTATTTAAAAAATGTTGTTTTGAGCACCACCTTACCTTAATATATTTTATATTTAATATATATATATATATATATATATATATATATATATATATATATATATATATATATATATATATATATATATATATATAAACACACACATACATATATACTTATAAATGTAGAGTTAGTTCATATATATATATATATATATATATATATATATATATATATATATATATATATATATATATATATATATATATATATATATATATATATATATATATATATATATATATATAGATGACTCTAATAAATATTTTTGTAGCAAATACCACGCTATTAGTATATAATTATTGAATATTGTTTAAAGTATTTTAAACATTAACTATATTTAAGTAAATTTAATTTTAGTAGTTGTTAATGTTTTAAATAATTAGTAATTAAATTTTTAAATACTTTATGTAATTTAATATTACATTACATAATACATTTACATATATTAAAGCGCATAATAATTGTAAAATTAACAAAATACTTTTACGCCTTGTATTCCAATAACAATTCGAACAAAAAACATAAGTATTTAATAAACTTATTTACTATTAATTTAAAAATTTTTAATTAAATATTAGCAAATCTGTTTATTTAACTTTACTAAAGGTTAATAATATTTAAAGTGATTTTGAGGCACCTTTTAAATTAAAGATAATTAAAAAATAGATAATTATGGTAAACATAATTTAAAAAATGTTATATTTTTTAAAATAAAAAACATATGAGAAAATAAAAAAATAAAAATAATTCTTATTTATAACAACATTTTTTAACTAAAGGGTGTCAGTATTTTTTTTTTTGGGTATATGTGGCAGGATTGGGCTGACTAACACCCTGAATACAATAGAAATATAATAAGAAAATTGGATTTAAATGGATTATTTAATGTTAAATGAATTATAGATGAAACTTTTTTTTTAATCATAGCAATCTCTCTCAGAAGTTAATAGTCTGATGTGGCGTATATAGTATGCAATTTTATTAAAAATTAAATAATATGTGTTACAAACCACAGGTAACAATTTAAAAATTCGTGAAATGGCTTCTATTTACCCACACTAACAGGAACAAAAAAAATTCAAAATATAATATACCAAACTTTTTTGGATGATTTGAAATGGAATTGGGTAATATTAAAATAAACTAACTAATTAAATATAGTTATAAATATTAGAATAAAGAATATAAAAAAAACTCTTACATGTGAACTAAGTAATCATTTTCAATTCTTTCCTTAAAAAGATTTGATTCTTTTTCTGTAATTGTTTTTTTAGCACAAAGAATTGTACATGGAGAAGATACATTTATTTTGAACTAAAAATAATCAAACAAATCTGATAATGAAAATTTTTTGTCTCGGCTATTCATTTTAAGACAACTATGTTTGTCTCTGCTATTCATTGTAAGACAATTATGTTTAGTTATGCATTTCTCACAAATCATTTTTTATGTAATTTTACATTTATAATAACTAAATTAACCTTTATTACAAAAGTTTTTTAATTTTATTAAAAAAAAAAAAAATTTGAACCTGATATGGAGTGTTAACAATTCGATCTCCGCGAAGTATCTCACCTTAATATAAATAGCATAAATTATTACAATGTAAAATAATAAAAACATAATTAAAAAATTAAAAATATTTATTCTTGTATTTTTTATTAATTCTTACATTATTTTTTTTATAAATTAAATATAATTTATAAAAAAATATGTGTAGCTAGATCATTATAAACCACTATAAATAGTTACAGATTATTTTTTTCAGCTTTTTTTCTTTCCTTTATATTAAGCAACATTCTTCGGCAGCGAAAAATAATTTTTGAAAAACATAATAAGCCATAAAAAAATTCTTTTTAATTTGAGATATAAATATAACAAATGTTAAATGATTCATTCTGGTAGTGATGTAGTGGCATTTGCTTCAAATCAAGAGGTTTAGTGCAAAGCAAGAGGAATAGTGCAAATCAAGAGGTATAGTGCAAAGCAAGAGATATAGTGCAAAGCAAGAAGTATAGTGCAAATCAAGAGGTATAGTGTAAAGCAAGAAGTATAGTGCAAATCTATTCAAAACGTTCGTTTAAGTTTTTTAGTAATACGAGTGATTGTGCTTATCAACGGCTTTATGAAAATAAATAAAAATAAATAAATAAATATTATATAAAATCGCTGGTAAAAATATTAGCTATTGCACAGTTTTTAATTGTACAATATTAAAATTTCCAGTTTATTACTCTCTGACTTTTTAAAAAGAAAAAATAATTATTCAAAAAACTTTAAATTATATATTTGAGAAAAAAAAATCAAATATTAGCATATTTTATAATCTTTTTTAAATTTTAGTTATAATGTTTTTTATTCGTTTAGTATAGACAAAATGTGTCAAACGTCGAGAAAATAAGCAAATCTTTTTACATTTTAAAAAACGAAACATTGCAAAACATTTTTAAATAATAACAGTTCTACATTAATGATTTAAAGTAGTTTTGCGGTAATTAAGTAAATTGGTGCAGTTAATGTCAAAAAATATGAAAAGCAAATAAAAAGAATTTAATGACGTAAAAAACCACGTCATGCTTATGTGTCGCGCAGTTTTTATTCATCACAAGGCCTGTATATATATATATATATATATATATATATATATATATATATATCAGTGTGTAAAATAAGAAATCGAAGTCAACTGTTTTTTTTGGACAGTCAACATTTTTATTATTTACTTTGTTTTCAGTTTAATCTTCGTAATAGTTCTTCATGACTAAACTTTATAGATATAAAAATAACTTAATATTTGATAGTTAACAAATTAGTATTCTTTTTTAAAACTTGCAAATAACTAACATTAAAATTGCATGCCAAATAGTTTAAAATAAGGAGCGCAGATTCTTATTTTATTTCTTAGAGGAAGTTTGATAAATTGATAAACTTTTTCAAAATTTTAATGATTATATGACAATTTAGTACATGCTTTTTCCAAATAATAATCTGATTATTTTTCAAATCATGTTTTTCAAAACTCTGATTATTTTTGAACCGGTCAGCCATTTTGACCAGTCAACTATTTTGACCGGCAAGAAATCATTTTAGGAGGTCAAAATAGCAATTTTACTCATTTTGGGCGTTCATTGACCGTTGACCAGCCGTTATTTTACACGCAGTTATATATATTTACATATATATATATATATATACACACATATATATATATATATATATATATATATATATATATATATATATATATATATATATATATATATATATATATATATATATATGTATATATATATATATATTTATATATATATATATATATATAAATATAAATATATATATATATATATGTATATGTATATGTATATATATGTATATATATATATATATATATATATATATATATATATATATATATATATATATATATATATATATATATATATATAAAAGGCTTGGTCAGTAAGGTAGGTGACCGTACGCTATTATTTGACCATGTATTTTTAATAAAGTAACAAATTATTGATAATTTTTGTTTAAAGTATGAATGAAAGTTTTAAATAATTTTTTTATATTATATAAATTATATAAGTATGCATTTTTATAATAAATATTATTTTTAAATAAAAAACTATTTCGATTATTTAAACGACAACTTTTTTAGACAATGATAGGCACTTTAATGAAGTTTGTATAAAAATCATTAAAGCTAATACACTCAAAAAGATGAAAAAATTAGTTTAAAAAAATGACAAATAAAGAACCCATTTGCAAAATGCAGTTTTGAAAATGGTCCAAGTAAACTTTTAGAGTAAACTGATTATGAGAAAACAACAAAAACTAAACTACTCTTAGTTGCGCATCAACAGAAAATAATATATTCTTTGTCCATTTTTAGTACCAAAATTTTTTTAAATGGTCTAATATTTAAATAGATGATAGGTTTTTTTTTTCCTTCCTTCATAAATGATTAAAGTTCTTATTTTATTATTATTTTCATAATAAAAATTTATTTACTCATATATTTTTGCCGCAAAAAATAAATGAATGATTTATAAATTTAAATTGCATATTGGAGCTTTTTTTCTTTAAGAATTATGAATAGAATCATTAAAAAAATATATTTTTTGTAAAAATCTTGTTTTATGTAAAATTAGTTATTTTTAAAGTAGTGTTTCATAAAGCAATTGTCATAGTGTTATCATACTCATTTTAAATTGTACCTGGACACTAATAACCTAATATTACCAATTTTTAAATGATTTTAATGAGCAGAGATGTACAACCATTTTTTTTTTCTTAAAAGTTGTTAACTTTAAAGTTTGATGTTCTTATTTTACCATTTTTTGAAATTGTTGTATGTAACTAAGAACATTTTGTCTATCAACTGTACTTTGTTTGTTTTTTTTATTCAATATTTTCATTTATTTTTCTCATAGCTTTTTTAAATGAATTATTTTTAATTTCATTTTAGAAGTCAAATTTTTTTTACTGCTAAAATTTCCAAACTATGTGAAAGAAAAAAAAATTTAATTCAAGTTGCTTTAAATGTTCGTATTACATTTACTTATTTTGTTTATTTATTTATAGTTTCAAAGTTTTTTTTTTTCATTCTGTTACAAAAGTGATAATATACAAAAGTGCTAAATACACATAGGGGTTGTCCATAAATTACGTCACACTATAAGGGGAAGGAGGGGGTTGTTAGTTTTGTGACAACTCACACAAAACTTGCCTCTGAAGTATTATGATTTTGTGACAAGGATGAAAGAAGGGGGGGGGGGGGGGAGGAGATCAAAAACAGTCAAAAATTGTGTGACATAATTTATGAACAACCCTCATAAGTGTATATAAATGCATTGCCGGATAAACCATAATTAAGCATGTAGGCAAAATTATTAGATTTATAAATATCTTAGGGAATTTTTTTAGTAAATTTTATGTAACAAATTTATAAAAAGATGATTTTTTCAGTTTTTATATTGTTTATAAACAAGTTTTTTTTTTATCATTAATTTTTTGAATTGATCATAGAATGAATGTTGATTAAAAATAATTAACTAGTTTATGAGTAGTATGCAAAGATTTTGTTAAAGCTAAAATGTTGATAGTTTTTATTTATTTTTTAACCGATAAGAAATTCAACCATAAACAATTGCCCCCTCTTTAAAAAAAAAATTAACAAGACGAGTGTTTTAAAGAAAAAATATATTTAAGTTTAAATAAGTATAAGTTTTTTAAAATAAGGAAATTTTTTTTTTAGACAAAATTTAAATTTTTTTTTTTTTAATAGTAATATTGTTTAATTTAAATATATATTATAAATGTAAAGACTTACAAGGATTTTGAATGTGGTTTCAAATTAAATTACAATGTGGTACTTTAAAATACACAACTGTCGTATTTTAACTTTTAACTATATAAATATGTTTATTGGGTGAAGTTACATTTACTTGCATTATATATATATATATATATATATATATATATATATATATATATATATATATATATATATATATACATATATATATATATATATATATATATATATATATATATATATATATATATATATATATATATATATATATATATATATATATATATATATATATATATATATATATATATATATATATGACTCTTTATCTATTAAAACCTAAAGTCTTAATGAGAATGATAATACTGAGAATTTAAAGACCAGAAATATTTCTGGATATCACAATTCGTGATCACTCAATTCGCCCCTTGAGAATTTTTTGTCTTTGCTTGTAAGTCATGTACCTTTCAAATTAGTAAATTTAAACAATTGAAAATAAAAGTGTTAACAGATTTTTTTTGTTTTTTTTAAATATCTATCATAACCTGTTAAAAGATCTTCTACTTTTACAATTTCTAGTAACTTTGTGACAAATTTTTTTTGTTATTGTTTATCAAATTTTTTAGTTGCTTATTTGGCATTCTAAAACATAAAGTGTTAATGAAACTATTATAAAAAAGACAAATATTTGAAAAAAATAAAATAAAAAATAAATTAGCATTGGTTTGCATGAAATATATTACAAATATATTATTATTTGATTGATTATTATTAGAAATATATTATTATTTAAATTACATTGCTTTAGCAGATACCTTAAAGAAGGTTCTATTACTATTGGTGATTTTAATATATTTTTTATTAAATTAAAGCTTGTTTTTTTGTTATAACTTATATAATTGCACTTACATATAAATAATGTTATATAAAGGATATACAAGATAATGTTGTATAAAGGATATATAAGATAATGTTATATAAATGTTATATAATTATATAAATCAAATTGCAAAAATTTTTGATAAATGTTTTAATTAACTATAAATATCTTAAAAATTACCTAAATTCTCAATAACATAGTGTTTGGAAACTGGTTCACAAAACGGCAGAGTATAATAATCATATGGTATTTGAGTTCTTACACTTGTCATCTTTACAGCCTAAATTATATATAGAACTAAATATAATAATAATTATATAAACAAGTAAAACAAAAAGTGTAAAAACAAGTAAAAAACAAAATATAAATAATAAAATTAAAACTAAAAACAAACAAAATTTTACATTTTTAAAACAAGTTTTAAAATAAATTAAAAATCATCAGATCAGAAAAGAAATCAAAATCATCAAAAACAATAAGATAAATCATTGCCTTAAAAATGTGTTAGGATCTCAGAAGCCAAAGATAAAGTTAGTTATATGAAATTTCATAAAATATTATTATGACACGCATGTCATAATAATATCTTAAGTTTTAACTAAGAGCATTTGTTTGAAATCAATAAAAATTAAAATGGATTAAAAAAAACAATTTAATAGAGCAAAAAATAAAAAATAAATTAAAAACAAATAGACAAGGCTTTAAATTTCTTGTTTATTGTAAATATTGCAAAAAAAAAAAAAAAAAAAAAACAGAGGAGGTAACTACAAGGAATTTCATTACTAACAAAATTAAGCCTTCTGAGGAGAGGCATGTGATTGTATGGCTTATCTCACCATGCATATAATATTTTGTTTTAAAATAGTGGTGTAATGGTAGAGAGCTCGCCTCATAAGCAAAAAGTTCTGAGTTCGATCCCCACCATGTTCCTGGTAGTACAACACTCAATTTGTTTCTCCTCACAGTTCGTGTTTCGAAGTTAAAGAGTTGAGAGAGGGTTGTAACCACAATTAAAGAAGTCTCTTCGATTGTAGAGGCCTTTTTTGCCTTGGAAAGGTGAATTAACATAAAAAAAAAAAAAATAATATAAACTAAACAAAATCTTAATGAATTATAAACAAAATACAAGAAATTAATATTAATAATAAGTCAGCAACTGAGAAAAGATATAGAGTACAATAGTAGAAGATATTGTACTGTAACAGCTATTATTGATTTTTGAAAAATTATACTTTCTTATAGCTACACAATTTGTCTAGGTAGTTCTTGAATAGGTCAACCAAATCAGCTTCTATGATCTTATTTATCAAGTTATTCCATGGATTAGTTACCCTGTTGAAGAAGAAATTAAATCTATACTTGCTTTTACAAAAAGATTTACTTGTGCTGACCTAGGTTGAATTTTTTTTGAATCAATTAATAATATCTAGATTGTGCTCAATTTTGTATTGTTAGATTAAATCACCTGGCAGCCTAGGTTCTTGTAAGTTTGTCAAATTCATCATTCTTAATTGTATTGTGTTAGAAAATTTTTTAAGTGATGGGATGAGTTTGGTTGCTTTATGTTGAATTTTTTCAATTTTGTCTATATCGTGTTTTAGATAGGAACACCGAATTTGCACAGCATACAAAGATATAAATGCACAAATGATATATATAATTTTTTAACCATACTTATATCTAAGTTTTTGAAGGTTTGACAAATTAAACCCAGGATTGAATTAGCTTTACAAATTGCTGCATTATTTACAATTCCCATTTTAGATTTAATTGAATTATGACACCAAGACCATGTTCAAAATCAGTTACTGTCAAAATGCGAACTTGATTTGTATCTGAATCATTCAATTACATAAGCGGTCTGAGGATTTTTTTTGCCAATATGCATGACCTTCTATAATAATATGTATGACCTTGTATATAACTTAACCAGTTTGATAACCATTCCATAAAATAATTTAAAACTTTTTGCAGGTTTTTAGGACCTTCAGACAATTTTATAATTATTTTATAATTTATATATTATTATAATTATATATATATATATATATATATATATATATATATATATATATATATATATATATATATATATATATATATATATATATATATATATATATATATATATATATATATATTATTTTACTGTAATCTGCATACAACTTTATATAGTTATGGATATTATCAGGTAGGTCATTGATAAAGATTAAGAACAAAAGTGGCCCTGAAACTGAATTCTGAGGCACACCACTAATAACTGGTAACCACACAGTGGTCATTTTTGGGGTCAAAATCTGCAGAAAATCCCAAAAGTGTCATGAAAAGATTTTTTAAATTTATGGTATTCATCAAAAAATAGGATAGTTGGAGAGCCATAATATGAGGTTTAAGAGAAATTGAAGTAAAAATAGGTTGGCTATGAGTAGAGCAACAGGAGGAAAAAAGTAGTGAAAAATTTACTGAAAAATGACTATTTTTAAAGTGGGTCTTAGAAAATAATGGGTGAAAATTTTCAAATTTTTGTTTAATAATTTTAGTAATACACATAAAAAAATATTAGAAAAGTAAAAAAAAAAAAATTTAAAAACTATATTGCTATGTATAGTAATGATTTTTTCAAACATCAGAAAAAAAGTGTACTACATGTCAAAAACAGTGCTGCAACTTTTTCCCAACAAATCCCAACAAATTGGGACCAAATCAGGTGAAAAGAGGAAATAAAGACCTTTAAAATGACACATGAAATTGTTGCGGGTAGTTGCGGGAGCTTATTTTATTGACTTTTAAAGTTCGCGCAAGCATATGTGCGCGTGCGATCGTAATTGTCGGCGAGCCTAAAAATTCAAAATAATAAGCATCTTGCACTTTGGCTTGCGGAGTTTTGATACAATTTGCAACATTGGATATCGCCAAGATGTCAAAAAGTTCCATCTTCATATGAGCCCTGATGAAAAAAGACTGGTTACAAATCGGGAGACACGAGTCAAGCAAGAATTTCGGGAGCAGCTGGGTCTAATTGTTGACCAGAGGCGGGATGGAGGTGCTGGCACTACAACAACAGGAAATGTTGCTCGCAAAGCTTTTCAAAACCCAGGTAGCTACACTTGCAAGTTTTGGTACTTTCACCAAACTTTTTGGGAAGCATTCAGAAATAATTTAGTTTTTAGATATTATGTCTTGTCAAGTTGCATGAGCATCACATCATAGCTTTGCTGTCAATTTGGAGAAATTCAAATCTTGATATCTGTATATTCCTACATATTTTCTTTTTTAGAAATTGTTGCAAGAATCTGTGATGTCCCTGTCAAACTGGTTGAAAATCTTGGAACACTCTGGTCTGCCCTTGCATCTGGATATGCCATTGATCCAGACAAGTTTGGAGTTCTGTGTGAAGAGACTGAGAAGATTTATTTTGACCATGTAAAATGGTACTGGTTGTCCCCAACAATTCGCAAGGTTGTGAAACATGGAAAACAAATCGTTGAAGCTTGTGTTCTTCCAATTGGAATGACCAATGAGGAACCAGGAGAGGCTAACAACAAATTTCTTCGAAAAATCCGTCTTTATCATGCTCGAAAATCATCCTGGCTCAATGGCATGTCTGACCTTTTCTTGAGACTGATGGACATCAGTGATCCAAAGATACAGGTAATTTTGGAATTAAGCATATCCAAAATTTTTCCAATTTCAATAATTTTTCATGCTTATTTAATTTAAATGATTTCTGAAACAGGACCTTTTTTCATTTGAATTTCCCAATTTAGCTTTGATAGCAATATTTTCTTTCATCCATTAAATGTTATATATAATTTTTAGGCTTATGTCCACTGCAAGAAAAAGAAGCACAACTCAGAGATCTTGCCTGAACCCATCAAGAAACTCTTGAAGATGCCGGAACTTCAAATTTCTAGAGATGCCTCTGATTCAGAAGAAGAATAAAGAAGTCAAACAAAGCAACCAAAGCCTCTCATAAAAATTAAAAAAATTCTCATACATTCCCAATTTTGTTATTTATCTAATGTTATTAGTTTTAACCAGATCAAACAAAATTGATATGCTTAACTCTATGTAAAAAAATATTTTCTTTGATGTAAGCACTTATGTTGTGTCTAATATAACCAACTAGAACCTCATTTGTGTTAATTTTTTTTAGCAATACATTTAAAAACTGTCATACATGATGGGCAGGTTGGTAATCTCCCTGTGGGTATTCCTCATGCTTAAGTAAAAATGTTTTCTGCCATTATCATGTTTGATATGATATTTGTGTGAAATTTCTTCTATTTAATAAATCCATTTTGATCTTTAAGGTAATGAGACACATAATTCATTTTTGCAACCTAGCATTAATTGCAAAGTGTCAAATCTAACTTAAAAAAGTGAATATTTTATTTTTTAAAGCAATTTTTTGGGTTATTTATAATTTTTACTTCAAATATGTTCATACCGGCTCTTTTTGAACACATAAAAAATGTTTTAGATTTTCTGCAGGTTTTGATCCCCAAAATGACCACTGTGAACCAGTGAGATACATAATCTCCTAGAAAAATTTGCTGTCTTTTATTATAGGCATTGTGATGAATAAAAACTGTGCGACGCATAAGCAATAATTTTTGACGTCATTATATTCTTTTTATTTGCTTTTCATATTTATCAACATAAACTGCACCAATTTACTTAATTACTGCAAAACTACTTTGAATCATTAATGTAGAAATGTTATTATTTAAAAATGTTTTGCAATGTTTCTTTTTTTAAAATGTAAAAACATTTGTTTATTTTCTTGACATTTGACACGTTTTGTCTATACTAAACGAATAAAAAACATTATAACTAAACATTTAAAAAAGATTATAAAATATGCTAATATTTGATTTTTTTTTCTCAAATATGTAATTTAAAGTTTTTTAAATGATTATTTTTTCTTTTTAAAAAGTCAGCGAGTAATAAACTGGAAATTTTAATAATGTACGATTAAAAACTGTGCAATAGCTAATATTTTTACCTGCAATTTTATATAATATTTTTTTATTTATTTTAATTTATTTTCATAAAGCGGTTGATAAGCACAATCACTCGTATTACTAAAAAACTTTAACGAACGTTTTGAATAGATTTTTAATGTTTACAAGGAATTTTATTTCTTGTAAAATAAAATAAAATAAAATGTTAGAATAAAAATCTTATAGGTATAAAAGACGTATTTCAGCAAAAAAGCACGCTTCGTTAAGTTTTGGTAACTTTTAACAAAAAAGCGATTGTTATTAAGTAATTTTT